ATTAATTAAAATAAACAAATAAATGCATTAAAATAAAAGCAGCTAGTGCACATTGCCAGTTTTTTCTGGATCCAAGGCATTGTTGAACTGTTGAATTTGAAAGTTCCTGTTGTTTTCATCGTGGTCACAAGGGGGCGTCATGCCTTTGGATTGAGAGTTCATGTGAAGACTTTCCTCACACTGATCCAGTTGGCTGACTTTTTTAGATACAGGTACAGAAAAAGGTCCAATAAAGGAGTAGTTGTGTCCAGAAATGTGAAGGTTACCCGCTCTGTTCTGCTTCTTGGATCATCTTATCTTTGCTCTTAGGTTTGGTGTTTCTTCAAATTTGAGGTGTTCTGTCAGAAATCCTTTATTCTTCAGCCCTTTCCGCTGTCATGCTGTCCATTTCAGTTCTGCTGCAAAATGTTCTGTTTTGCTTGTTTCAGTATCTGGGTTTGCCCAAACAATATTGATGAAGTATTTTGTTTTGAAAGGAATTAAATGACCAAATTTTTGTAATCCAGTTCCGGTTTCTTTTGTATAAGTTCTCTCTCAGGATCTCATATCAAGCACATCAGACTCAGAATCAGAATCAGAAAAGGTTTATTGCCATTGTCAGTGAACAAGCAGTTCACAAACTAGGAACTTGCTTCGGTACTAATGTGCTACATATAACATGAATAATAAATTTCAAAAATAGGATAAGTAGAATAAAATATAATAAAACTAGCATAAAACATTCAGCTATAAAAAAGGCAGGTAAAGGTAATATGGCCGATAACGTGACTTTGTGTCGAGTAAAGAAGACGAGCGTGGTTGTGTGATTATAAGCTGTTCACAAGTCTAACGGCAGATGGAAAGAAGCTGTTCTTATGGCGGGAGGTTCTGGTCTGGATGGACCGTAACCTCCTGCCTGAGGGAAGCGGCTCAAAAAGTCTGTGTCCCGGGTGCGAAGGGTCAGCTGCTATCCGGCCTGCACGCCCCCGAGTTCTGGAGACGTACAGGTTCTGGAGAGAGGGAAGGCTGCAGCCAATCACCTTCTCAGCGGTGTGCACAATGCGCTGCAGTCTATTTTTGTCCCTAACTGTGGCTCCAGCGTACCACACAGTGATGGAGGAGGTGAGGATGGACTCAATGATGGCCGTGTAAAACTGCACCATCATCTGGGCCGGCAGCTTGGCCTTTTTCAACTGCCGCAGAAAGTATATCCTCTGCTGGGCCTTTTTGATCAGGGAGCTGATGGATGACTCCCACCTAAGGTCATGTGTGATGGTGGTTCCGAGGAAGCGGAAGGAGTCCACAGTGGTGACGGGGGTGTTCGTCAGGACGAGGGGGAGAGATGGGGCTGTGACTTTCCTGAAGTCCAAGATCATCTCCACTGTCTTCTGAGCATTGAGCTCCAGATTGTTGCAACTGCACCAGTACACCAGCCGTTCGACCTCCCTCCTGTAGGCGGACTCATCACCGTCAGAGATGAGCCCGATGAGGGTGGTGTCGTCCGCAAACTTGATCAGTTTGACGGAGTCATGGCTCGAGGTGCAGCAGTTTGCAGGGAGAAAAGCAGAGGAGAAAGTACACAGCCCTGTGGGGATCCTGTGCTAATTGTCTGAATGGTGGAAACATTCTTCCCCAGCCGCACGCACTGCCTTCGGTCCATCAGGAAGTCAGCAAACATGCAGCCCAGAATGAAACCATTTATGTTTCTGATTCACGTATTTCCTCTACTCCAACAGCAGCAGTGTGTGTGTGCATGCACGTGTGTGTGTGTGTGTGTGTGTGTGTGTGTGTGTGTGTGTGTGTGTGTGTGTGTGTGTGTGTGTGTGTGTGTGTGTGTGTGTGTGTGTGTGTGTGTGTGTGTGTGTGTGTGCGCGCGTGCGTGCGTGCGTGGAGGGGGGAGGTACCTGACTTGGTGGGTTTGCAATGAACTTTTTTAAACAATTGTTTTAATAAACTCAGTACTTAAACGTATTTATTACTTCACATCATCCCAAACTGAGCAGGTTCTTAAGCCTTCGAGAGAGTACGGTATTAATTGCTCTCACTAAAGGCCCAAACTCTTGTCAGAAAGGGATTAAATATTAATTAAACATCCTTTTTATTCCAAACAAGCAGGGTTACCAAAGAAAACAAGCAAATGCAGATAGAACTGATCTTAGCTTAGATTTGAGCTTGAGTATTTCAGATTCCTTCAACCACAGAAATGAACCCACAGCAGATACACTTTCTACCAGAACCAAGCCAAACATTATGTTCTCAATTCAAATGTAGTTTTCCATCTAAAACCAAATGCAAACAAACATCACATAAATCAAGGAAATGCAAATCAGAACCGTTCAAGAGACAACAATAAAATCTCAAGAGTCTTCTCGTTGATTGTGGTGTGTGAAGCTCCTGCAACGTTCTTGTTCCTCTCCATCACGCTGTGGTCCAGCTGGTATTTGAGCTACGTTTTCTTCTCTTCTAAATAACCTTCATGAAAATAGTCACATTTACTTGTGACTGAGCAGCTTTTCTGAATTTCTCCAGTGAGCAGGGAAAATGAGGCACAGAGATGGTTCACCTCAACGTCACACCTGTCACAGATCAAAGCCTCTGCTGTCTTTATAGTTATAAACCAGATATTATTCAACTTCTTTTGGACAGCAATGAACACCAATCAGAATATGGGACAAGTCTCAGGACTAAGAAACAAATGCAGGACAGTCCCTCAGAATGTTTGACACTTGGTCACATGTGTACTTATGGACAGGTTGGACACGGGGACAGGGTCCTCTTTAAGGTGAGAAGTAATGGGGAGTCGAGTTCCTTTGTAAGTAAGTGAGTATGTAAAACTTTATTTGAATAGCTCCTTTCAGGATTTAAATTCACAAAGTGCAGCACAAGAGCCTTTAAAACACAAAAGACAGAGGCTACTTTTAAAAGAGCCCACTGAGTCCATCCATCTCTAAAGAGTCTGAGGACCTGACCAGGACTGTCTCCTCTTATCTTCATTCTAGTGTGAAGAGCCATCAGCTGACCTTGATAACAGGAACTCAGGCACGTGCCAGGGAGCTCAGTGCCAGTCCATGAAGAGTTCTCCATTTTAACATGAGTCAGAGCCTGCCTGACTCACAAAGCGATGGCTCCATCCATCCATAATCCTTCTGTGTTGGGCTGAAGTGCCATTTGTCAGATTTCTGACTTCTTGGGCAATTACGCCTGTAGTGGGCTGTGTGGCCTATCCAGACAAGGCTGTGGGCCAGGGCAATGTCATTTGTCTGTCTATTCCAGAAGAATACTCAGCTCTGTGCGCCCATCATCTGCTGTTTCAGTCATTCTTGTCTAGGAAGGCCTCTGCGTTTTTCCCCTCGTCATTGTCGTTGTTAGGATCAGGTTCATTCAGAATGGTGTCTCCCATAATTCTCAATTACTCTCATCTCCGTCAAAGACGAGCCTTGCCCCACGGTGGCTTGGTTCACAGTATATGTCTTTTGTTCATGCTGAACAGCAGAAAGAATGAGAGTGAATTGTCTCATTGATTTGGCTCAATCCCGGAGCTCAGGGATGGAATGCATCATGCTGTGAACTCACAAACTCGTATAATTGTCGAGATGAGTCGTAAGCTTGGAACTTTGGCTGAGATTCAGGCTCTGGCACAGAAGGTGGATTCGATCAAGGAGAGAGCTGACGGATAAGCATGGATTGGAATAGATTGATTATGCCATTATTGGGCCTGGATGGGTTGAAGACCAACAGAACTCTAAGGCAGAGAGGAAATTATCTGTCTGTCCCCAAAACAATTCTTTTCTGAATCTGGTGCCCTTGGAGCCTGTGAGGCTGAAGTGATAACTCTCCCCTCAGAAGAAATGTGGAATGCTGCTGTCGCTATGGAAACCCTTTCTCCCTATCCCAGCCTGGGCGGGACTGTGACCGGTGAAGGCCGTGGAACCGTATCTAGGAGTCAATGTGCCCTCTAACCCATTATCTCCCTCCCCTGTCCAAACGGAGATGATGAGCGCTGCTCTTGCGGCTGCACGCACTGAAGTGAGGAGAGTCCCAACCCTACCTCCCAACCTAGTGGACACTTCTATCGTCTGAAGTCTGTGTGCATATCTGTCTGAGGTGTTTTTTGCACAGTAAAGCTATCCTCTCTGTCGGGGGTAACTCTGAAGTGCCTTTTTTTCCATCCCCCCTAGCTCTATCCACATATAAACTCTCTTGATCTATTACGGTAGCGCAACTCGTGTTGCAAATGACCACAGTCACCAATTCTCGTCATGTGTCTATGTATATGTCTGATCTCAGAATTGTGTGTACTGAAACTCTAATTTCTCTCTGGGATTAATAAAGTATTTTTGAATTTGAATTGAATTGAACGTCCAACAATTTCACTTACTTTACACCACAAGTGAATTGAAAAAAATAATGAAACAGTTGCAGAGCTTTTTTTCTCTTTATGCTCATCCCTTCAGGAGTCACCACAGAAAACCATCTGTCTCCATTTATTCCTGTCTTCTGCATCTTCTACTCTCACAACCACCTTCATGTCCTCTTTTACCACATCCATAAATCTCTTCTCAGCCTCCTGCCTGGTGGCTCCAACTTCAACATCCTTCTGTCTCCTCTGACATGTCCAAACCACCTCAGCATGGCCTCTTTGACTGTATCTCCAAACATCTAACATGAGCCGTTGCTTTGATGTACTCGTTCCTGATCCTAACCATTCTCGTCACCTGCTCTTACTGCGGATCACAATTATCTGCAAACCTCAAGGGAGACTCCCGTGGAGCTCCCACAGCACACCTCACATCTGTTAGGTTCTGCACCTCCCTATCTCTGCCCCTCTAGACCTCCTAATGCAACACCAGAAGGCTGCCAACTTTAGCGTTGCGGTGAGACGTCCTTTATTTAAACAAACAAATAAATAAAGTAAAAATAATCAATATAATTATATTTAAACATTTAAGCAATCTGTGATTTAAATTTTTTATTAAAAAGAAAATAACAAAAATAAATAAAACTACGTTACCGGAAGCGATCGGGTGACGTAGCGGAAGTTTAAAAATGAAGTCGAAAGCGACTTTTACCGATTCACACGTGGAGAAGAAAATTAAGGTAGGAATTCTCAAACCACCTTTATTTTACTCTAACAAACAAATGATGATTATTTAATCCAGTGTATGCATTAAGCAGTTTATATAGTTTGAATAACAGCGGTAAGGGTGGTCTTTTACGGCTGTACGCATCCTCCGACAAGCTAATGCTAAAGCTGCACCGGATCTGCTTTAGACCTCGTTAGTAAACAAAGTGGGTCTCGATGGTGTTCGTTGTAAACGCAGGTTAATGTTCAGCCTTTCCTGAACCTACTGTAGGTACATTTTGTTCTATACCCCACAGTCGGACTGACAGGCTGTTAAACTCTCCATCATCAGTCATCCTCAACATTAGCCTTAAGGTTGTGTGCAGCTTTCCTCTTGTTCTTGTGAGCAATCCCTGGATCATTTCTGTTATGGTTGGATAAAGGGAGGAGGTTTAGGAGCTGGCAGTGTGAAGTGAAATCAACCTAAAACCACAAGAACTTTACAGAGTCATTCACACGCTGATGGTGATGAGCGACATCGTAGCCACAGCTGCCCTGGAGCCCACTGACAGAGGCGAGGTGGATGCACTCAGGTACCACCGGTTCCTCCAACGACCACCACCAGGCAGGAGGGATGAAATGTCTTGCACAAGGACACAATCACTGGCACAGACAGAGCCTGGTTTCAGTCTAGCAACCTACTGATTACAGCCTGGGCGACCAAACTAGTTACCATCTCCTCCATATTATGGATTTCATGATCATTTGCCATCATTGAGAACTTTGTGACAACACATCAGCATGCTACAAGACCTCAGAAATCACTGCTTGTCCTAGTTGTTTGTTGTGTTACACAATGATAATAAATTATTGTATTGCTAAACTAAATAAATTTCTGGCTTCTCAGGTCAAACGTCCTTCGGTTCGTTACTGGAATGAGCCACAGAAGGAGGATAAAAGCAGAGATGGAGAAAACACTGGAGAGGCTGCTGTGCAGCAGGACAGACGGGCAAAAAAAAGAAAACAGAAAGATGAGACGAGTGCAGAAAAGAAGTTATTTTCAGAGGTAAGAAAGAGCGATTGTGTTGTAGGCTGATTGAGATGGTGAATGGGGTTGCGTTATCCCCTCAGGTTGACACGAACCAGGATCTGGTTGGACTTAAAACACATTTTAATGTTAAACACTACTTTAGTTTTGTACTTCTCGCATCTCATTTTACTTGTTTCAGCAAAGTATTATTTTGATTCAAGTAAACAAAAGGAAAAAGCCCATTTATTCACTTTAACGACAAGGTAATAAAACATTCAGTTCCTGCATTAGGCTTTAACTCTAATTGTTTCTTCTTATCTGTGTAGATTTTTCCCTACATCTCCACATTTAACTATGATTTTATTGAACATTCTGATGTAAATAATCTCCCTTTTTAGAAATCAGACCCTTTTCCAGGATCTGCACCGATCCCAAAAGACAGGTTACAGAAATTCAAGAGGAAAGACAAAATAACAAAGGTGAGGAACTTCGTGTGTTTTCTGTATTGGGTGTGTGTTGAATATTGTTGTTTTCTTTTACCAAAGTGTGAGTTGTTTATTTTTCTAGCCCCCTCGCCACTACCGCAAGCTGAAACAGGTCATCACTCGATCAGAAGAAGCTTCAGATTTGGCCCTGAAACAAGCTGCTCGGTTTGACCTCCTACTCCCAGAAGATGCCGGGTCAGTTCCTCAGTGCCACACAAACATCTTGTCATGTCAGCATTTGTTTCTACAAAAATCAGATGATGAGCAAACGTGTTTTTTCCATTTTCAGTTTTCTAGAAGGCGATGAAGACGAGGACACCTGTACGATATCGCAGGAGGACATTGCAGAAGCTGTGGATATAACATCCGGAGCAAAGGTAGCAGAAACTGTCAGATCACTTAATAATACCTTTATGTAACAAAGAAACAAAGTCAGAAAAGTTTGCTTTTGCGTTAAAATAACCATTTCTTTTTTAAGTTGCTGGTAGCAGCAGGATTGTATTTTTGTACCTGAACGTATATCTGGGTTGTTTCTTTGATTGATTGATTTATTTTTTTCTGGCTGCTTTTACAGTATTTCAACCTCAAACTGACCCAGTTCGGACCATATCGAGTGGATTACAGCAAAACAGGACGGTTAGTATCACACGTCCCTACTTTGTGTTTATCTGGCAATTTCCCTGATTGTTATAGTGAAATGTGCAGCTCTGCTTTAGGTGAACAATCAGCATGGACGTTTATGTAACTTAGACTTAAGTTCCTTATTTTATTTTTTTATGTTTATTTATTTATTTTATTTAGGGATGCACCAACATGAAATTTTTGGGCCGATACGACATCCGATATTAATATCACTGTTATGGCCGATAACCGATATGCTGACATTAATGCTTCTAAAAGCAGCAGATTTTGTTTGTAATGAACATTATTAAAGCTGAGTTTACGTTATTATGTACACACACATTTACGCTTCTTAGATGATTGCAATCACTGTCACGTGACTTAACAGATACACATCACCCCCTCACCCTCTGAAACATAAACAAATGAAAACAAGATGGGGAAAATATTGGTTGTTAATATCAGCCCAGTTTTATATATCTGACCAATATTTTTTAAAATGACTAACATCTGCTGATATTGATGCCGATATATTGTGCATTCCTAATTTTATTTATTGATTGATTAGAAGCAAAAAGCGAATTTTCTTCAGAAAAACACAATTACTCTCCAGTTGCTGTGTGTTTTGTATTTTCTCTTTAGTGTGGTGGGTGAGCTTCTTCTCTTTGCATTTAGCAGTGCTTGTTTTGCTTTGTTTGTAATGTGAGAAAAGGCCATTTTCAGAGCAGAGCTAATGGCTGGTTATAGCAGACATGAAGCAATGTGATGATTTAGTTTCAACACATTTTTCTGTGTTTTTTTTTTTTTATTATTATTATTGTTTTGCTTTTAATTTCTTCAGTGATCCATCACGAGTTGCTGAAATGTCCTCCAGGCTCACTGGCTGCTGCGTTTGGAATGTGATCATGATTTGGACTAAAGTGGTTACATGCAACAGCTGCAGATGGTTAAACTAGTTCCTTCTGGTTATAAAATAAAAGTAGTGGGTGGACAGTAAAACAAGATTTGACCCATGAAGCCATGGGTCATTGCAGTTGGTTGTTATCTGTTATCAATATGCTGTGACAGCTGTGTGCTTTTTCCGGAGCCTAATAATGCAAATATGTCTGATTTCTTCAGTCAGCTGCTGCTCGGCGGGAGGAGAGGTCACTTGGCGTGTTTCGACTGGCAAACCAAACAGCTCATGTGTGAGATAAATGTCATGGAGTCCATCAATGATGTAAAGTACGTTATGAAGCATTGTTCAGTGCAGCAGAAGTATTACAGGGATGGTAGATTGTGTTTGGAGACTGACGCAGATCTGCTATCCTCCACTAGATGGCTCCACACTGACTCCATGTTTGCTGTGGCTCAGAAGCAGTGGTTGTACGTCTACGACTCCAATGGGATAGAGCTGCACTGCATCCGCAAATTCAACGATGTCCTTCGAATGCAGTTCCTCCCCTACCACTTCTTGCTAGCTACAGCGGTGGGTTCACTCACCCTTCCTCTGCTGACGGTCCCACTCTGAAACAACACTTCTGTTTTTGTTTTACCAAACAAAACATACAGCTTGTCACACACTTAATAACTCATGAAGCCAGTTCACCGGTCGAGAGGCATAAGAGAGTGAGGAGAAGCTTTATGCTTCTATTTTATGACAAGTTTCCTGTCGCTGAAGAAAAGTTGGATCTCGTTTAAAAAAAATGTAAAAGCACTAACTGATGGTTTACTCTCTGGTCTGCAGAGTGCTACGAGCTTCCTGCAGTACTTGGACGTGTCAACCGGAAAGGAGGTAGCGGCCATCTGCACTAAGACTGGCCGGCTGGATGTGATGTGCCAGAACCCTCACAACGCCATCATCCATCTGGGCCACTCCAATGGCACTGTCACCCTCTGGTCTCCAAATCAGAAAGAAGCCCTCGTCAAGATGCTCTGTCACCAGGGTGGAGTTCGCTCCGTGGCTGTGGACAAGATGGGGAAGTGAGTCACAAACAGTTGGCTTCTTATGTTGGAGGAATAAACAGGAAACCAGTCTGGTTAAATTTAAGAGTGGGTCTGTTTTCTCCCTCATCGTGATTTCCCTTTTTCGGCAGTTACATGGTGACATCTGGAATGGATAAAAAGCTGAAAGTATTTGACATCAGAGCCCTCAAACCCCTCACGTCCTACTTCCTTCCTGCTGGAGCTTCGTGTTTGTCTCTGAGCCAGAGAGGACTCCTGTCTGCAGCCACGGGGGACGTTGTCCAGGTCAGTCAGTGCGTTTACGTCAGCATCTAAGTTGATCTAACTTAGATGCTGACGGTTCAAGCAAGACTAACGCATTACAGTTTTTCTCCGTTGCTTTGGTGCATTTCTCACTACAGAATTAAACTTTGCACAACAGTTAGTTCAACCTCCACAACAAGTAGTCGTTTTGGCACAACCTAGTGGCGGTTTCATGTTCATTTCATCCAAAGGCAAATGCCTTTGGACATGAAGCAGTTGAGTAAGTACAAATGTGTAAAGAATGGTCCCTTTTGACTTGCTATTCATCACTATCTCCTTGCTTTTATCATGAATGTCACCATTATTTATACTTGTACCGGCTGAATAGTCTTTGTCCTTACAACTAATGGTCTTCTTTTCATTGCTTGTGGCATTGCACTCAAAACTGTTGAACATCTTGTCAAACAACTTGTACACCCATTTTGAAAACCCTATTTTTAAGGAGTTTCCATGGAAATCTCCATAAGTGACTTTTCTCAGGTGAACCTTATCTCACACTAATGAAAATTGGTGTGTGTCCTGGTGACAATCGGACAATGCATGTAGTGGTTTGGGATAATGTTAGCTTCCATCACTCTGCTGTAGTCAGGCAGTGGTTGGCAGCACACGACAGGATGCTTGTGGAGATTCTTCCTCCTTACACTCCATTCCTAAATCTGATTGAGGAGTATTTCTCTTCCTGGAGGTGGAAGGTATATGACAGGCATCCACATACCCAAATGGCCCTGCTAGCAGCTATGGATGCAGCTTATGATGACATCACAGCAGAGTCCTGCAGAGGGTGGATTCAACACTCCAGGAGATACTTTCCCCGATGCATCGATAGAGCTGACATTCCCTGTGATGTTGATGAAAATATGTGGGCAGTAGGGCTGTCACGGTAACCGCAAAAATGAAATATCGCAATATGAAGAAACCCACCGCGCTGCATCATGGGCCACCGCGATTACTGACTTGATTCAACTCGATGATGCATGTTGAGAAGGATGGCTGCACTGGTATCAAAACGAAACGTTACTTCGCTCCTTTGGGAGCACTTTGGTTTTCAGTACGTCAGCTGCTGCGCAGCCAGAGTCCTTGGCCGAGACAGAGCTGCCACCAGTGGCAAAAAAATAATAATAAACACTCGGAGACCTGCTGAAGTCCCGGACAAGCACTGCTTCTGCAACCGTCCTGAAGAGAGTTTGAGCCGAGCTGGAGCTCACTCGCTACCTGCAGGAGGAATGCATCCACCCTAAAGAAACCCCCCCGACGTGGTGGAGCAACAACCGGGAGAGATTCCCTTTGCTCGCCAGAGTTGCACGCAGGTACGTGTGCGTTAGTGCAACGAGCGCACCATCCGAGAGGGTTTTCAGTGTTGCTGGAAATGTTGCCACCCCTCTCAGATCCTCTCTCAAACCGTATACGGTTAACATGCTGGTTTTCCTTGTGGGTAACAAGGACGTGACCGAGCTATAAATCACCGTCATTCCTGTGTGTGAAAGTGAAATGATAGTGCCGCGCGCCCGGTACATGTAATTTTTTATGCTTGATTTTAAACTAAACAAAATGGGGACTTGTTTCTTATTTGTTAGATGCTGCAGCCAAATTTGCATTTAAAAGTTTAACCTCCTGAATGTTGTTGTTTTTAAGTTCAGTCGGACTCCGACTGTCGGAGAAACAAATGTTACTGCGATCTGTGTTGTTACTGCCCTTTGATCTGCATTCAGTAAAGTGTTATAAAAGAAGGCACGGCAATTTTAACCTTTTTTAAATGTGTAAACATTATGTTTAGATAGTACTGCAATAAAAAAAAGTGCTGCAATAATATCGCACACCGCAATATTAAGCCACCCTGAATCACCGCAGGGGGAATTCCTCATCCGCGACAGCCCTAGTGGGCAGACAGACGGGAGCGTCTAGATATCAATGATTGCCATGCAGCAGGTGTTTGTTCAGTTTTTTGTTTGTTTCATAACTGCTGCAGTAAGGTTTACTGTCTAAGTGAGTGTATGTTTGCTGTAAAATGTTTGTTTTACTGCATTTCCCCAGTTGCACAATGCTGTGAACAGTTTCAGTTAAAAATTATCAAGAGTGCATATGAAGTGTCTTGATTTTCCTTTACAATTTACGGTTTTCAACATGCCGTGCGTGCTGTCCAGACTTGACATGTCATTGGGAAGCACCTACAAAGAAATCCGTCACAACGAGAACATGTTCAAACCATTTGATTTTGTGACCAGAGGTGCCGGTGGAATGACTTGTAATTGTGACAGCCCCGACACTTTGATAGATATAAGTACTTGCTTTTGATGAAGATATTATCTGTTTTGATTAAGGGACTTGCGTTTGAAGCATTGACTACTTATTTTGAGTGAGCAACTGACTTTTCTTTTTGATGAAGTGACTCACTTTTGCAAGTTATCCACCACGTTTTGCAGTTTGCACTAATTGTTTTGAGAAAAGCCTTAATAGTGGTGCAGAGATCAATTCTGTTGTGAGAAATGCACCAAAGCAACTGAGAAAAACTAACATGCATTTAAAAAATAACGTCGGTCTATTTGGGACAACAGTTTGCTTTTCTGATGAGCATGTCAACACAATGATTGTCACAGACTCACTGAACAAGTAATGATTTCACTACAGAAATCCACCTGTCGGGAAAGGGATGGGTGTAGTCCGAGCTGGGTGTAGCTGTGTGTGGACACCGGTGACACGTGGGGGTGTTTTGTGTGTTGATCTGTGTGAAAACACTCTTCCTGCAGGTGTACAGGGACGTGTGGAGCACTCCAGTCACCAAGCCCTACATGGCTCATAGGGTTCGGGGATCTGTGTGGGGGCTGCAGTTTTGTCCCTTTGAGGATGTCCTTGGAGTTGGACATGGAGAAGGTTTTACCAGCATGCTTGTACCAGGTCAGACATCGTGCTTTTAAACAGCAGCTTCACTGCCCAGTCGTCTGTGGCAACAGCCTGCGGGAGATCTGTGTGTTTAAAAACAAGTGGAACCATTTTAAAATATTTTCTACATGTTTACTAATCAAATAGCCTCCTTGATGCTTCCAACCACTCAAATTCTATAGAAGAAGGCTTTATGGCGTAGGCGGTCAATCAGTGACGATTCCACATTTATCATTGAAAAAATATTCAGACTAAACTCTGCAGTTTGAGGTTTTCAAGACTCTTTTTACGGGAATATTTAAGATTACAGGAAAAGCAGGTTGATCATCGCGTCCAATGAGTTTAAGGTTTTTATCAGGCAATATGGTTGTCACAAACACCGACATCCTTAAATGTTGGGATCATGTTCTGACCCTCCTGAAAGAGCAAGTCCCCCCTACCAGAGTCACTTCCTGTTTTAAAAATGCACCAAAATGAGGTGTTCACTGGAGGACCAAGATGGTGGTGCTGCGGCAGTGACTGACAGCAGCACCGTTGGGGTGCTGTTGGGGAAATGAGCCGCTAACACACACACAAACAAACTCCCCTGCTCGGGCGGAGAAACGGCAGCACACTTCCTAGTCTGGAGGATTTCTCTCCACTTCCTTCACCAGAGGAAAGGGAGTAAGGTGCACAGCAGGAGGAGGAGGTGAGCGGTGGTCCTTACCTGCATCGGTTCATGAATTGCCATGGTATCAGGTGCCAAGCCAGCTGGAGGCGAGACCTTGCTACAGTGTAGTACAATGCAGCCACATCAGAAATACTGGCTAACGCCAACAGGAACGCTGCTATTTTGGGTTGCTTTTAGCACCCCATAGAATGTGTTTCAACTCACTCTCATAAAAATGAATCTGAAACTGTCCTCGCTGTGTGTTTGTGTTTTTAACACCTCAACCTAACAGCTGAAATGTCTCCACAGCCTTCGTTAGTGTCTGCAGGAGCGATTCATCACTAAATCAAACAAATCAGTTGTGTTCACCACCTAAAACATGCAGAAATCGTGCTAACGTGAGCTAGCCACATAGCTATTGATTAACTGAGTTCCTGGTGAATAACATGACTCCTGAGAGGAGAAATCATGTGACCACAGGGAAAAGCTGTAGCATGTCAGCAAACCCAAATGCAGATTCAGATCGCTGGGTGATCACAGCCGGCCTGTACTCTACAAGCTACGAGCAGCTAGCCGATGGGACCGCACCAGCTGGCTGGAGCGCTGCACAGCGACAGCTGGGGTCTGCGCTGCACGTCTAAGGATGCGAGGACCTCTGATAGAGACAAGAAAGTATCAATGACTGAACGTTTGCTAAGTAAGGACAGAGCTTATGGGGGCCTTAGGGTGAGCGTGTGATCAGTGAGGAACGGGACATGACTTCTTCTGCATGACAAACATTTAGAGATAACTACAAACCTGTGGAGAGAGAGCCAATGAAGTTCTTTGTTCTGTACAATTTCTCATCCTGCTTCACCTTCACAGGTGCCGGCGAGCCCAACTTTGACGGACTGGATGCAAATCCATATCGTAGTGCAAAGCAGAGGCAGGAGTGGGAGGTCAAGGCCCTGCTGGAGAAGATTCAGCCTGAGCTCATCAGCCTGGACCCCACAGACCTGGGTCGGGTTGATCGCGCCACCTTTGAGCAGAGGCATCAAGAAAAGGTCCAGTCTCTGGTGAGTGGGCTTTAAAAATATGGGTCATTTAAAATAAAATAAAAACTCAGCACAATGTTCTGTTTTTATTTATTTTAGTACTAAAAACCTCACCTGCACATCCACAGCTTCATAAAAAAATCATGATATTTATTGTTATTTATATTGTTTTTATCTTTTCAGGGCTTTGACCCACATGCTAAAGAGAAGTTTGTCCCAAAATTTAAGAAAAAGGGTCGCAGTTCTGCTGGAGCTGTTGAGAGGCGCAAGAAGCAAGTGGCTCATGTGGACCAGAGGGTAAGTAATCCAGAATAATACCTAGATTAGATATCTAGAAAAGTAAAAATGTTTGCTACATCATGTCGAATTAACAAATAAGACAAGTTCTATGTTAAGATCAACGTTTTACGACGACAAGATTATTCTCAGGCGATTAAAGGTGTTGGGCCCAGTCCATGGCTAGAAAACCATTTGATTTGTATTCATTTCTAATCCTTTTGTGTTCTCTGTGCAGGATGTCATCCGAAAATCTGTAGAGGACAAAGTAAAAATGGAAGAACAACAAAAGAGGAAGGAAGCGAAGAAGGCTGCACTGTCCAGACGAAAATCTGCTCTGGACAGATTCAAAAAATAGAGAAGGAGCCTTTGTGCTGCTCAGAGTGTGGGGACATTCTGTGGGATGGACCTTTGACCTTCTCATGAAGACAATTTCTTGGACACGATCTACTGTGACTACGCCAAGTGGAGCTGAGAGGATGTCTCGGGCAGGAATGTGACACGTGTTAATGATGGGGTGCGCTGTAACTGACACTCATTACCTCCCAGAGTTAAACTGGATTTCAGTTTGTTGCTCAGAATAAAGGTTGACAAAATAAACAGCTTATTATTAAGCCTCTAAAAACAGATAAATGTGTCGACTAAGAGGGAAACGCTGTAAAATAAAGCAAAGATGAAACTTAACTATGATCTTGAAGAATATTACAATATTGTAAGTAGAAGAAAATATCTTTTCTATAGCGCCTCTCAAGACAGAAATCAGGAGGCGCTTCACAAAAACAAAACGTAAAAATATAAAAAAAGAATTTAGAAAATGGTTAAAATATATTTAAAATAAGCAAAAAATAGACAATTGAGAGAGAGAGAGAGAGAGAGAACAGGAAAGAGGGAAATCAGTGGATCCTGAGGAAGGTGGAATAGGTGGGGAGAGCAGAATAAAGAGAGAGTGGTGATGAAAGTCATACATAAGCCAGCGTGAACAACTGAGTCTTCAGCTGCTTTTTAAAGGAGACCACTGAGTCCACTGATCTCAGGCTCAGGGGGAGAGAGTTCCAGAGTCTGGGGGCCACAGCAGCAAATTATCTGTCACCTTTGGTCTTTAGCCTGGTGCTGCACAACCAGTAGGCTTTGATCACTGGACCTCAGGGACCTGCTGGGGGTGTAGGGACTAAGAAGATCACCAATGTAAGATGGTGCTTGTCCATGTAAGGCCCTATAGACCAGAACCAGGATCTTGAAATGAACCCTGAAGTTGACTGGCAGCCAATGAAGCTGGAGGAGAAGCGGGGTGATGTGGGTGTATTTGGAGGACTTGGTCAGAAGCCGAGCACAGACATTCTGAACCACCTGTAGACGGTTCAGGGAGGTTCTGCTCAGACACGTGAAAAGAGAGTTGCAGTAGTCTAAGCGTGAGGAGATGAAGGTGTGGATAACTGTCTCAAGTTCAGACCGAGACAGAATGGGACTCAGCTTAGCAATGTTCCTGAGATGGAAGAAGGAAGAGCGAACAAGAGAACTGACATGAGAATCCAGGATGAGAGCTGGGTCAAAGGTCACGCAAAGATTCCTGACAGAAGGTTTGGTGTGAGAAGCAAGCTGACCAAGAGAGTCTCTGACTTTGGGAACCAGCTTGTCTGGGGCACAGATGAGGATCTCAGTCTTTTCTTCATTCAGCTGAAGAGAGCTCTCAGCCATCCAGGTTTTGATAGAGTCTAAGCAGGTGTGTAACAGCTGCAGCTTAGACATCTCATGGGGCTTAAAGGAGATGTACAGTTGGATGTCATCTGCACAAATATGGTAGGAGATTCCTTTGAAGGAGCTCAGGATGTGCTGAAGAGGAAGCAGATAGAGGAGGAAGAGCAGAGGCCCCAGTACAGAACCTTGTGGGACACCATGGGTAAGGGAGGTGGTGGAGGACCTAAACTTGGAGACGACTACAGAAAAGGAGCGCTCAGAAAGATAAGAGTAGAACCACTCCAGAGCAGATCCTGATAGGCCTACCCAGTCTCTCAGCCTCTCCAGTAGCAGGTGATGGTCAACAGTGTCAAAGGCTGCAGTCAGGTCCAGCAGGAACAGAACAGTCCCCTGCATCACTGTGAGTCAGAAGGTCATTAGAGACCCTAAGAAGAGCTGTTTCAGTAGAATGAGCTCTACGAAAACCTGACTGTAAGCTATCATAGATATGTTCATCAAGAGCAGCTGTGAGTTGTTTAGCCACAACCTTTTCCAAGATCTTGGAGATGAACGGAAGTTTAGAGATGGGTCTGAAGCTGCTATGGAGAGAGGGGTCAAGACTCGATTTTTAAGAAGCGGGTGGATTACAGCATTCTTAAAGAAGCAACCATCGTCCAGGATTGTGTGTGTGTGTGTGTGTGTGTGTGTGTGTGTGTGTGTTTTCTCCTTAAAATGATTTACTACCACCCCCAGGCCTCCCCGGGTAAGAGGACCACCACCTGAGCTAGAGCACACAGAGCTCCAGTGGAGCTCCCCAGGAGCAACAGCACCTGTAGAAGGCTGTGCCTGAGCAGACCAGGTTTAGGACCCTGGGCCACCTCGCTCTCCAATAGAGACCCAACCAGGCCAAGAGCCACCAGACCCCACCAAGCAGCTGCAGGGAGTGAGCCAGCGTCCAGCCCTGAACACCAAGAGCCTCCACACCACAGGAGCACTAGAATCAGAGTTTGGTGGGGTGAGATGGGCCTCACCAGACTCCCACACACACCAATGCAGACAAACAAGGATAGACACATTCTGACTCTAACAGGCTCAAGAAGTATCCTCAGTGACTGCTCTTAGGGGTGAAGACAACGCATTGGTTCACATGTATTAATATCTGGGTTTCTTGATTGATGATTCACTCACCTTCCAACATGTGGAGAACCTTGTGAAGAAGCTGAAGTGAAAACTGCATTTTTACTTTCAAAACAAGTTACGTTTTTCTTTTAGTGCAAAGATGCGAATTGTTGCATCATGTTTAGCTGTGTTGGTTTATGGAGATGCTTTGTGCCTCTGCTGAATGTCTTCAGTCACTGGACTGTGGATCGCGCTGCTCCAAGGTTCATCACTAACCTTAAATCCTCGACTCACTGTGAGTTGTACGCTCCGGTGGGACGGCCTGCCTTGACCATCAGGAGGACGTCACACTTTTACAGATTTGTTTACAAAGCAATACTTGGTCTGCTACCTTCATAAATTCCCATCTGAAAATGAAAAACGCATGTCGCTTCTGTCCCAATGAGCTTTTGTCCATTCAGCACTATCGGCTTGGAATGAATTTATTTGGCTGAGTGTTTTTAAATCTAAATGAAGAAATCTTGAGAGCACCTCAACTGACATGTAACTGTTTTTTTTTTGATTGTTTTATAGTTTTAAATTTACTTGTTCTAAATTGTTTCAATAGCGTGGTAATCATATATTTATGCGATGTTTGCTGCAGGACTCCCTTGAAAAAGAGGTTTTGAATCTCAATAAGCTTTGTACGGGGTAAATAAAGGTTAAATAAGATAAACAACCAGGGGGGCTGAATAACCTCCCAGGAAGCTAGAGCTCCTGCTGTCCTTGAAACAAGGTGGATGCTGATGCCGCCCACCCCACAACACCCCTGAGGAAAATCTCTTCTATACCAACCCCTTGAACACCCCCCCAACACCACCACCCCAGTGTGCAGACTAAATAAATAAAGGAGGTAATCACCTGCATGGATGGCAAAAATAATAAACACCACTTGCAGCTATAGGCTCCAGAACCCACACTGACCCACAACAGGTCCCATCCCAAAGGTGGACCAGTCCCAGACCACCGGATCCGCCCCAGCCCTATCCAGGAGCACCACAATCATTGACCACCAGAACAGAGCTCCCCCCAGCAGGGCTGCACACAGCTTACTGTAACCTTTTCTTCCTTCCTTTCTCATTTTTTTACTTAAAATTTTCTGTTTTCCCAAAAAAAAATTTATTACAATACGTTTTAATTCATTTTATAGATCTCTTCTAAATCCTTTTTGTTTTTGTTATTTTGACTTTGAGAGGTGCTACATAAAAATGTGTTTCTTCTAACAGTATAAAGACCAACACAGCCCCCACACCGACCCGACCAGTTTCACCTCATTCATTTGATCAGTGATCTGATAGATCTTTCTCCTGTATGGGTCTCAGTGTTTTAATGATGTAAACAGTACTAATCCTTTCATTAATGTGATTCTGACCCTAACCCTAACCCTCCTAAAGCAGATTTCGGTGTTTCTCATTAGAGACTCTAGGCGACTTCAGAAAAGCAAGCTGGTGTAATCTGTTACAGAATTATATTCAGCTCCGTAAAGACCAAACATCAGTGATAAGTGTGGTTCTCAGAAGGAAAAACCACACACCAGGTAACAGTTCAGCTCAGGTCTGACCTGTTCTGCTGCTTAAGCGGTGGAAACTCCCTGCAAACTCAGGGCTGTTCGTGGTAAAAGTTATAAAGCTGCTGCTCTGGGGCTGCATGGTGGCGCAGTGGTTAGCACTGTTGCCTCGCAGCACGAAGGTCGCAGGTTCAAAACTCGCCTCTCTGCGTGGAGTTGCGTGTTCTCCCCATGCATGCGTGGGTTTCCTCCAGGTCCGGTTTCCCCCACACATCACAACATGCCCTACAGGTTATAAAAAAAACTTGTACGTCGCTTTGAAATGAATAAACATAAACATAAGTTGCAAAGTCAAAATGTTTGCATTACTTTACGCTGCTTATGCACATTTACAAGGAGCGTAAAATAAAAAAACTTTAATCACTGTTTATCGTTTTTTTATTTGGAATGCATAGAGAGGGAGTGAGTAGCTGACATGTTTTAATTAGTCAACGCCCTCATCTTCATTTCCAGTCCTAACAAAGGAACTGAACCCTCTCGGCATCGGAGTTCATCAGGAACAAAACCAGTTTTCTTCTCACAGTTCCTTTATTCATTTCTTGAGTTTGACTCATGCATTCCCTGAGTGTGAACACACAAACTTGACAAACACAAATATGGAATATTTGCCTTTTAACAGTTTTAGAAACAGTCATTAGTAGTGCAGCTGTTTTTCCTCTAATCCAACCACAAACAGGAGCTGGGTGGTCACATATTACTCCTACAGCACTTCATTATAGTTTTGTGCTGAGGCCATAATTTATTGCTGATTTCCATTAAACTTCTCTATTAGCTGAGATAAATAATTACTCTCGTCTGGCATCTATTGGTATTTTCTGAAGGCATGCGTGTATGCATAGACTAACCAGTCTGGTGATAGACTTAAACCCACCAACTGAGAAGCATCTGTTGTGTTTTAATGCAAGCAGGTGACCAGATACATTTCTAATGAAACTCTTAAACAGGTCGGAGCATCCTGCAGTATCATCCGTGGTTTCTAACACCTAAATACAAGAAACTACTAGGGTCTGATGATCTAAACGTGCACGCAGATGTCAACTTTCCTTACGGGTGGTTAGGCGACCTCCTGTAAAGAAATCTGTACAACTCTGGTGAGAAGATGCTCTAGATCCGTCGCTCCAGGGCGGTTTAGCAACCCGTTTGGTTTTCAGTCAATATGATATATATTTTTTATTATCTTGGCGTATAAAAACCAGACACCTCCTGGTGTTGAACTTGACTAACTCTAAGTGATCTAACTAATCATTTTAAAGTGAAGTTAAGCTACAGCTGTAGTATGTTTAGTGTTCTACGTGCTTGTTTTTGCTTTAGCAGGCTCTGCATGTTTATCGTCTCCGGTAAAGGAAAACGCACAGACTGCAAATAAATCTTAACTTTTATAGAACTATTTTAGGAGTTTTGAAGCTCGTGAACACCAGATTTAGCTCGTCAGAAAGCCCCAGTCCCATCGATGGGTTTCAGGTTAGCAGATGAGCGGTTTGCCTTGCACCTTTATGTTCAACAGTTATGCAAATAATTCTGATTGTTGCAAACAACCAGTTGAGTTCCTGCTTCTTGTCTGGGGAAAAAAAAAGAAAAATAACAAGCTGAATTCATTCTTGTAAAAAAATAAAGCTCTTAAAGAATTGCAAGACATGTTCTCAGTAGCTTTGCAGCCTGAAGAGCACTTGTGGGGTTCATGGTGAAGTGAGGCTTTGTGCTTCCCTCTCAGCCCTACGCCAGGCCCAGGGCCAAGCCCAGCATTGCTCTGACTTTGCACATTCCCAAAGATGCCCGCTGGCTCAGCCAGGTGCAGGGTGGGGGTGAGTGGACATCAGTCCAATACTGCATCATTTCCCTGGGTGAGACTTTATGGATGGACACCATGGTCTGATAGCAGCAGCGTCCATACGGCACAGCTGGGCCGCCAGAGAAAAGAGGGCAATGCGAGGGCAGAACTCCTGCAGCCTTGGCACACAGTCCTACAAAAACATCCTCAGGGGGCAGAGGTGTGGATAGCGGAGATGCAGAGGCTGCGAGGGAGATTTTGAGCAACGCAGAGTGGGACAGAACATAAGCGGTGCCACTGCAATAGTCTGGAAAGACGGATGAAGGGTAGGCCCCTGAAGGGAGATAGTGCTTGCTGTCCGGGTCTCGATCTGGAGCCACGTGGAGATGCACCCTTCCGAGGTACAAATCCCCTTGTTCATATGGGTTGTGGCTTTTGTTCAAGAAGTGCAAGAGAGCACTGGGATTGAACAGGACATCATCATCCACTTTGGCCATGAAGTGAGCCTGAGGGCAGAACCTGCGGGCCCAGCCCAGCAGGGCCAGAGTTTTCAGAGTCAGGTTGGAGTAGGTGTCCAAAAACCGCCCCTGGATGAGGTCTCCTTTCTCTCTGGCTTCCTCTATAAGCAGTTTACCCAATCCGGGGTCAGTCGCCACTCCCACGATGAAAAGGGTCATGACCCGCAGGCCTCTCACCTCCACCTGTCCTCCCCAAGTGTCCCGGATGGCTTGGCGGGCCCGCTGATTCGCAGAAGCAGAGGTAACCATGGTGATGAGGTAAGGCTTGGCCCGCTGGCACACGAGCGGGCTGGGCATCAGAAGGAACTCCTCGGGTCTGGTGGCGGGCAAGATCTGTGGAGGGATGATGCCCGCGTGCGGCTGCAGCGCGCTCATGCCCATCGCGGTGACCCACGACTCGATGAGATCCACGAAGAGCAGCGCCAGCAGGGCTGCGCACGCCATTAGCGCGCACAGGATCGGCAGGAGCCTGCTCCCTCGCTTTCCAAAGCGAAGTCTGCTCAGTCCCCGTCCGCCCATGGCGACCAGCATCACCTCCCTTTGCTGCAGGAGCAATCTCCTCCGAGCTGCCTGTCCTCCTTCACCTTTACTGACTGACGCACTCCTCCGTCATCCTCGCTGTTCCAGCTCTCCTCTTTAATGCTGCAGCCTCCTCCGTTTGTGGACACGCATCTGCTGAAATGGGACGATAGATCCGACCTCCGCCTCCAGCGATGCTTCGCCCTGATGCTCCGCTGTGGGTGTGATCAGCTAGATGCTCGGGAAAGGACAGGCTGTAAAACACACAGGAGCGGTTATTTATCCGATTACACCGATGGGGTAATTAAACTCTAAATCAGATACATACCGTGGAGGCAATTCGGTTAAGCGGCGAAGCGCCTTGTGTGAGAGATCCAATGTCCTCAAATCTCCTCGTTTACGTACCTTTTCTACATGAAGCCAGACGAAGCACAAGAGGAAGCAGCAAATATGCTCTAAAATAGCTTTGATCGTGTGCTATAATATCTTTCCTCTGCGATCGGGTCCTCTGCAGTCAAGAGTCCCACCTGGTGGCGACCCCTGGTGGTCATTACCTGGCCGTGTTTGTTGTCAGAAAATTCATTCAAAGAATTAACATTCAACAATGCACAAAGACATGCACAGTTATGAAGTACAAATACAAATTATGTCAGTTTAATTTGATGCAACCACTGACATTACTTGTAACGTGCCAAAGGCCAAGTTTTTTAATTAAAAATGACCAGAAATTAACTTTTTCATTTGTAGACACAAACATCCCAAGTGCTGCACAAGGCCTTGTCACTAAAGGATAAAGGAGGCATAATGAAACTAGTACCCTTAGCTTGGCTGGAACAAAAGTCGTGCAGAAGAGAGACTTTCTGCACCCTCACTCTGAATAAAGTTCCTCTTCCTGGAATCATAAATTACTTTTTATAACTTGTTGCATAAGAGTCATATTATCATCTCTTGTTAAATCCCAGAGTTTGAATAATGTGTGCATTAATCAATGATGTGTTAAAATGAATATTTTCCTGCAATGATTCATTTCAGATCTTAAATTACACCAGATCAGTATGATTTAACAAGTTAATCTATCAGTATACTCATATATCATAAGATTAATTTAAAGATTTTAACATTCACTTCACATGAATGTCTAAAAAGACTTTTCCACTTCACACTAAGAGTAAATATCTGAGAGAAGGTGTGATTTCTGAGGTATTTTGGTAATGCCTTTTAAACGTGTCAAATTCTGATTTGCAAAATTCATAAAAGTTGATGAAAACAGGAATCACTTCCTGATCTAGTTAGTCTTTGCCGTTCACTTCATAAGCCCACTCGGGTGAACAAGCATTTTTGAGACCGTCCTCTCTTTGACCTCAAGGTCACAGTCGCTCTGCAGCACTTGTGAGTGATATCAGACATAACGGCTCTTTTAAGAGATGCCGAACAGTCTTAGACGCTAAATAGACGCTCCAGCTTCCTGCCATCACCTGAAGACAACCCAGACTAGACAGGTTGTACTCCGAGCTGGCTATGAACTCTGGTACAAGAGGTCCACGCCGTCGCCAGTGTCCATCTCTAGATTTTACCACCCAGACTCCACAATCTCCCTCAGATACTTATACGGTTGTGCTAAAACACATTCTATCATTCCATTCATCGTGTCATCCATACAACCATCATTTCATTCATACTTTATCATGTACAATCATTACGTTTAGGAAAATATAATTAAAGTAATTTTTATAACTACATCCTTGACTCTGTCTGGATTAACGTGAAGTGTTCCCTTATAAGTCAAAGAACTAAAGTTCTCTGATTAAACATTCAAAGACCAATCAGACTGATATTTCATGTTTACATGGAACATCACATCTTATTGATCGTTTAATAAAGAAATAGCTAATTATTAACACTACACCCTTCCAGATGAAAACGGATCTAATTAGTGATTTTTGTCTCATACTTTTACTTGTGGCTGAAATAGGACCCAGAACCAAGCAGGTACACATCAGGTTTGTTGAAGTAAGGAATCATCCATCACATTTAAGATCATGAACCGGACTAACCCACTCTTGGACTAGGCAGAATTACAAAACACTGAATACCAGCACATGAACATGGTCTTCTTCTTCTTCTTCTTCGTCTTCTTCTTTGAGAAAGAACAGCAGTTTAGACGTCTACCAGGTATACTGTTGCCATCTCCACAAACAACACAGACGCCCACCCACTAATTCCAGTCATACACCCCACAGCACGCAAGAAGTCCAGCAACAACTTCACTCGCCGTCTGTCCTGTGCCTCCAACAACGTCCGGAGGCTGTAAACGCTCACCCCACACTGCCCCAACAACCCAAACAGAGTGCGCCGCTCATCCCCTCTGGCAATGTAGGACATGGGAACAACACGGTCAGGTCAGGAGGTCTGATAAGTAAAGGAAGCCAGGTGAGCTGTTGGGACACAGGTGTGAATAATTAGCTGCAGCAAACAAAGACCAGGGGTCTCATTTATAAAACATTGCGTGAATCCTTGCTAAACCCATATTTACGCCAAATTTGTGACCTATAAAACATGGAGCACCGCTTCACGCAATCTCTGCCTTATAAATCAGAAACTACCTAGAAAGATTTTCAGGTGTTTCTGAATCACATCCCGCCCTCAACACGCCCACTTTCTGCCATAAATGGTCAATGCAAAGTGCCTTGTGGTTGAACCTGGATATGTATTGATATATGATGTATTTATACACCCTCCTGTACAGTCTGGCCATCATGCTGCCAGCATTGGCGATCCTCTCATCAATGTTGCTGTTCAGAGACAGACTGCTGCTGATGGTGGAGCAGAGGTAGGTGAATTGGTCAGTGACTTCAAGCAGTTCATTGTCAGTGATGATGGAGAGAGGTGCAGGAACATCTTGGCTCATGATGTTGGTCGTCTTGATGTTGATGGTTAGCCCAAACTCCTTGGGAAGCAGTGCATCAGTGCTTGGAGGTTCCCTTGGGCATATGAGGACAGGGGTACATTGTTAGCAAAATAACATTTGCTCAGTGAGGAGTTTTCGGACTATGTTTTTTTATATTAGCCGATTCTGGTTGAAAAGTTTCCAGTCACTTCTGGAGGTGGATGCCATGTGTGGAGTCTTTGAAAGCAAAACTAAGTAACAACGAGAAGAGGCTGAAGAGAGCTGACACAAGAACAAACATATACTCTTTATTCTTTGAATTTTACATTTTGGTCTTGGGGCTCTGAAATGATGCCATCATGACTGGACACACCCTCATGAAGGAGGAGATGATGCTGAGTACCTGAAGGGGGCAGTTAATCTTATTATTAATATAATAATAATAATTATTATTATTATTATCATTATTATCATTATTATTATTATTATTATTATTATTATTATTATTATTATCAATATAATAATTAATTAATAATAATAAATAATAATATTTAACTAATAAAGTGTTAGGACAATAGGACTGCACACCTGCTTATATCAGGGTTGATTTGCCACATCTCCTTTAAACAATGTATATATGTGTAATGGTAAAAGGGGGTTTTCATAGCAAATTGTAAGATCAGCAAGCATTCTCCACTAAGTGTCACGTTCTGCCCCTGCCTTCCTGACTGTGTCTCTCTCCTGCCCTGATTAGTCCTTATTGTTCTCACCTGCCCCTCGTTAACCTGCCCATGTGTTCCTAATTTTCCCTGTGTATTTATACCTCCCGTCTTGTACCAGTCTTGGTCGGATCATTGCATGTGTATGTGCTTGTTTGTCCTGTTGCTCCCGTTCCACCATTAAAACCATTTTTATTTTTCATCCGTGCCTGCTCTCCTGCCTCCTGAACTCTCCACCACACATGGTCCATCATCTCCACTCCTCCCAACATGACAGAATGATCCGACCAACCTGGACCTGTGGTGGTGAGCGTTAAATTCTGTTCTGGAGGATTTTGTTTTTCTTTTTCTCCCGTTTTCAGCGGAGGGAGATTCCGGCCTGGAGTTTTGCTTTTTCAGCGCATCCTACCTGTTCTCGGGGTGGTCGAGCCCTCTGGGAGATCCTGGCGCATCCTATCCGTTTTCGGGGTGGTCGGGGTCATTCTCCTCTCCTGCTGTTCTACCCCGTCCTGTTTTTCACAGAAGCTGCTTTTCCTGGAGTTTTTGATGGAGGGAAAACCCCTTCGCACGCCGACATTCTCCGGGGTGGTAGGGCTGGTCTTCCTGCTCCATGTCTGCTTCCCTTCACCCGAGCCTCTGCCTGTTGGATCCAGTCGAGTCATGGTGTGCACCTGCTCAGGACTGTTGCTGAGTACCTGCTACCGCTCCTGGTTTCCTCGCGTCGCTCCTGCTGTTCGTCCTGCTTCCTGGTTCACGCCTGCGGGGTCTGTGCCTGCAGGTCCTTCATGCTGCAGTCTCTGTTGGGTCCCACACCTGCTGCTGCAGTTCCTACTGGGTCCCACCCCGGCTGCTGCAGTTTTCCTGTTCCTGTTGTCAAGTCAAGAGTTCATGTGTCGAGTCAAAGAGTTCCTGTGTGTCCCGGTTCCCCAGTGTCCTGTAGAGTTCCAGTGTCCCGCGCCTGCTGCTGTCGAATTCCAGAGACCAAATCCCCCGAGTCAAGTGTTTCCCGGGTTCCCAAGTCACGTGTTTCCCGGGTCCCCTGTGTTATGTGGCCTTGTGGGCGTCTGGTATCTGCCCCTTAAGGGGGGTATTGTCACATTCTGCCCCTGCCTTCCTGACTGTGTCTCTCTCCTGCCCTGATTAGCCTTATTGTTCTCACCTGCCCATCGTTAACCTGCCCAAGTGTTCCTAATTTTCCCTGTGTATTTATACCTCCCGTCTTGTAAACTTCGTTTGCACTGAGTGGTCAGAATGATGAACGAAGTTGTGTGCTGCAGGTTGAAAAATACGGAAGTGCAAAAACGGAAGTCCGTGGAGGCCAGCAGAATTTATCTCATAATTATGAGATACTAAGTCATAATTATGAGCTGCTAAGTCATAATAATGAGATAGTATCTCATTATTATGATAGCTAAGTCAGAGATAATAATTTTTTTTATCTGAGTGGCGGGAATGGGCTTCCATAGTTTACCCTTTAAAGCAAATACTACTACTACTACTACTACTAATAATAATAATAATAATAATAATAATAATAAAAGTAAGAAATAAAATTGCTTCAATCTGCATTGTTTTAAATAATACATTATTTAAAAACTGCCTTTTTAAACTCAGCGGACAGTTGTCTGCTGATCTGAAAGTGTCAAAACAGCCTGATGGAAGCAGCTGAAACAGAGAGGATGGATATGATCACAGACACCAAACATGTGAAAAGAGCATCTCTAAGGAACAACAAATTAAAAGTCAAATTAAACTTTAACATGAGGATTTTATATATAAGGGGTAGCCTACTGCTAATTTCACATAAACAACTCAAGTAAACTGTCATGAATAGAAATATAACTGCAAATATTTAAGGCCATGAAGCAGTCACAAGTAAACCAAAAACGAATATTTCCGTCAAATCCTCCACAAATCCAACGTGGTAAAATGCACTCATCACAAAAAGCGTATTCGACTTTTTTCGTCAAACTTGATCTTCACCACGTTATTAGTTTTACAATCAACGTGTCAATGAGCATTTAGACATAATGACGTCAGTTCTGTCTGACTCGCGACCGATGCTCGCAACAAGGGTGGTGGGGAGGTGGGTGAATAGGCGGACGCGAGAGAGAGGAAGAAGGAAAAGTCTCATTAGTGCGCTGGCCAGGGGTCACGAACTATGACCTTTTCCAGACGAAAACCACAACAATAATATTTATTTAAAACCAGCAGAGCGCATTGAATTTGACTCTAAGAGGTAAGCGTACATGTTTTACTGAAACCACTCTCACGACTCTGGTAGTCGAGCAGAAAGGAGCTAATCTCGGTTAGCTTGTCGGCTAGCCGATGTTGAGCTTTCTTTCTGTCCGTGTCCGACTGCTCGGTATCCGGGTATGAACTGAGGAACGTTAGGGGCCGTCTGGCCTCTGTCATTAAGCGGAATGACACACGCCATCACTGTCGGTTTGATTGGTAAACACAGCGGGAGACACAGTTACGTTCAGCTGTTTGTAGCATTGAGCTAGCTTCAGTAGCTAACATCGGACAGCTCCCGCTGGTGAACTCGATCGACCCTTTTACCTTTGCCATCCCGTGGACGTGTGTGGATGAGGACTCTGTCGGTGTTATATTTTCTAGATATGTATTTTGAGTTGTACTGTTATAATAATTGCTATTAGCTATTCTAATGTCAAAAAAGTCTCTTAAATACTAATTACCGTAATATCTATGGTGGTATTGGCTAACTGCCAAATTCTCCATTTTGTTTCATGGTATATTTGGAGTAGTGTCAATGATGGACAAATTGTTGGGCCAATCACTAAACAACATCAATCCATTCTTGCTGGTGATGTGCCGAAAAATGTACCCCTGCTGGGAAGCGCACCGCAGTCCTGGGAAGCACATTTCAGAGCAGCTGTTTTTTACGACCGTACAGAAATCCAAAGCGACTCCGCTTCTTACTACCTTTAAATAACAAATCAATTCAAATTCAAAAATACTTTAATAATCCCACAGGGAAATTGATTGGCCTAACTATTACACATGTATATAACGTGGGTTTGTCATGTAAAACATTGTAGGTAATGTTTGGTGCTAGTCTGTTCAAAAACATAAAATAAAACCAAAGATTCAGCCCCAAGTCAAACAAAATCATGGATATTTCAGCATCCTAAATGGCAGATTAGTTAGTTTGTCTAAAGCATCTTAAATCCTTCTTTGTTCAATGTTTTTTACCTGACACATTGCAGCTAGTATCTCTTGGTCATCACAGATCAAACGAAGATAAACACAGAATGAACATGCAAATGAGACTTAATGTCCTTGGTATCTCTCTAAACAGACCCCACCACTAATGACATCTCATCATTATGTCGACCAGCCTGAACCTGCTGTCACAGCAGAAAGCAGAGTCTGAAGCAGAGGTGAGTGTGCCGAGAAAGATTTTCACATTGTCCTGTTTCTTGGTAGGTTTTTATATAAAGTCAGTGAAAAAGCACTATAGACACTCATTTTTATTAGCTTTGATTGGGAAATGATCTTGGATCATTTGTTTAACTGGGCTAGGGGTTATCCTCTCCATCAGACTCCGTGATGAGTGAGTCTCCGCAGCGCTTTCAGGTCATCTCCACCGAGCCTGCAACAACACCACCGCAAATACAGGTAACAACTGGACCCCTCCTGCTGGCGCTCTTCTTTTAACGTCAACACAGTTAAGACAGTTTGACCGCTGTGACTGAAGCCTGACTTATACCTCTCCGTTTGCACTGGTTATGGAGACACGCAACGCCATGATGCGTCAACGTAGGTGCTCTGCCCATGTTTTTAACTGTTATTTGAAAGTGACTGTGCCTGGTCAGGGCGCCACTTCCTTTAAATTCATTAACAGCAGTGCCGTTCCCCCCTCAAAAATATAAAAAGAGCTGACTGAAGAATGTCTCGGAGAAAAAGTCGGACAATATGAATGCTAATACACCCGTAACTGAAGGAGAACAAAGATACTCAACAAATGTTTTATTAATGGAAGGAAATTACAGGAAACGTGGGTTTAGATGTGGCAACTGCACTACACTACACTATTGTGGACCAGTGACACAACTGCAGGAAGCCGCTACACCCTCTGTTGTCCTGGTGGGAAATAGCTTTGCAACACTCTTTAGGCAATAAAAGGAAAACGTCTCCATCAGTGCATGTGTGACTCTGCACCTGAGCTGATGGAGGAGTCTAAATCAGGCTCTAGCTCTTAATTATTAATGTAATTCTGTCATTATCTTAACCTTAAACACGCTGGTGTCTGTTCATGCCCGTTGCCCATCTTCTTTTTTATAACCTACCTCTTGCGTCTCTCACATTGTCAGATTGTAACCGACCAGCAGACCGGTCAGAAGATCCAGATCGTGACAGCGATGAATCCATCCAGTGCTCCCAAGCAGCAGTTCATCCTGGCCACGGCCAACAGCTCAGGGGCAAACAAGGTCATCCTGGCCTCACCGGAGAATCACAACGCAAAGCAGGTCATCTTTACTGCTGCAGACAGCTTGATGCCAGGAAGAATACAGGTACAACTTCCTCATGAAGCCAGGGTTAGTAAAGAGTAGGGGTTGACAGATATATCGTTCGGCCGATATATCAGACCGATATTTGACATTTTTAACGCATCTGCATCGGCTGATACACCTCCTTAGTAAAGCCGACTTAAAGTCAGGCACATCCTCAGACAGCCCCGTGCCACTGCAGAATTAACTTAAACGTATATTTACATTCCTCAATAACATCTGCATAATAAATACTCTAATAAAGTCTTTGCAACTAAAACTTTTTTCATACTTTGGAATATTTAATACTTGGTCAGTTAATTGATTAGTTTGATTAAGTTTATTTAGAAGTTGGATTTAAACTCTGAGTGGTGCACAACATTAAGATTTAACTGTTGGTCAAAGGTACGACGGAGGATATTTCTGAATTTCTGGAAATAACCGCCCCCTTCTTTCGACAGGAACCCGGTGAGAACGGTAAGGAATGAAGGCGGATCACTCTACACATAAACAGAATTAGCAGGAAATGAAAACTAACCCAGGAACGAGCACGTACGACAACGGCCTTGACGTGAAAGCTTCCCCAGAATGATTGACAGTTATGCAGACCAATGCTTCAGATGATCCACCCGGAAGAACAAGATCCTCCACTATAGCTTTAAATTCAGAGTTCAAAAACCGATTCAGCTTCAGAAATTTGGTGCATCAGCTGATGTTACTAATGATATTTTAGCATGAAGCTAATCGGCTGACCATGACCGCCATTGGTATCAGCAATAGAAAAACCACTATCGGTAGACTTCTAAAAGACAGAATGTCTTTGTTTGGAGGTTGTCAGCTGTTTAGGTTGTATGGAAGTTGTCGCGCTATCATTGTAAAGATAAAACAGATGGAAGTCTAATAATCTGCCTCGTTGTTGTTTAGATTGTCACCGACCCTGTGTCAATGGAACAACTAATAGGACAGTCGGGGGATTTAAGTCGGCCTCAGCCAGTGGAGTACTGCGTGGTGTGTGGGGACAAAGCTTCAGGTACTTTAATCTCCATCTCCTTCATCTCATCATGTGACCATTTGAAGGTAATCTGATGAGTGCATCCAGATGTTCTGAACATTTTGTTCAGCTTGATGTTGTCAGCGTTCTGACCCACACTGGCTGAGTGACTTAGACACTAATATCTGTCTGCAACCAGGGCGTCACTATGGAGCTGTCAGCTGTGAGGGATGTAAAGGCTTCTTCAAGCGGAGTGTGAGGAAGAATCTGACCTACAGCTGCCGGAGTAAACAGGACTGTGTCATCAACAAACATCATCGCAATCGCTGCCAGTTTTGTCGGTTGAGGAAATGCCTTAAGATGGGGATGAAAACCGAGTGTGAGTGTTTATGCTAGACAGAATTTACTGCATTTAAATAGTCAGCTTCACATTCTCCTCTCAACTCATTCACTGCCAGCCGTTTCTTCATCAGTAAAGCCCTTCGCGTTTTTCTGCGTTTTTACTGTTTGTTTTTTTAAGAGTCACAGAACGTTACGCGCTAGGATGATGTCAACGCCAAAACTACCAAAACAAAGAGGAGGCTCACCTCTTACATCAGGAAGAATCCGCGCTTTTTGAGTGTTATCTGTTCTTTAATAATCCGTTGTCGAATTATGATCGGCAGAAGCTTTTTTCCGGTTCACGCCTCAAAACAATCTCCTAACACATGGATTTTCTGCTTCCTGATCACGTGACTTGTGACGTACGCGGTTGAAGATCGGCTTTAGAGCTGGGATGTTTGTTCTCACGGTGCGGGGGCTCGTTCCGACTCCCACACAGTAAAAAAATGCAAATGACGAATGGCAGTCATTTCATTAGTCACAGAAAAAAGCACCTTGTTTTTGTTTATGCATCAAATCACCTTTCAAACTGATAAACAATGTATGTCTTCTCATTTAAGGGGAAAAATCACATTTATGTAACTATTCAATTCAAGTTTATTTATATAGCGCCAAATCACGACAAGAGTTGTCTCAAGGCACTTCACATAATAAACATTCCAATTCACAGTTCATTAAGTCAATCAGAAATAATGTTTCCTATATAAGGAACCCAGCAAATTGCATCAAGTCACTGACTAGTGTCAGTGACTATACAGCAATCCTCATACTAAGCAAGCATGCAGCGACAGTGGAGAGGAAAACTCCCTACTACAGTAGTCTAATACTGTAAAATATAGAGATACAAAAATCTAATGCCATTGCTTTTAGCATGTGTTTTGAACAGCTGTATCATGTACATTCAAAGAACAAAAGTACACCCACTGTTTATGTATTTTTTTTAATTATCATTATTGCTATTAATGTAACTAGAAACTGCCTGTTGTCATTATTTAGCTGTCCAGAGTGAGAGGAAGCCAATCGAATTGGTGCCCAGAGAGAGACATGCTAACTGTGCTGCCTCTACTCAGAAGATCTACATCCGAAAGGACCTGAACAGCCCACTCATCGCCACACCAACCTTTATCTCTGATACAGATACAGATGGCTCCAGGTCAGGGGAACCCCCAGCTGCAGACACTTTAGTTCAGATGTCTTTGCGCTGCACTGTTGATGTAATGATGTTGTGCAGATCCAGCCTACTGGACCAGGGGATGCTGGTTAATATCCAGCAGCCGCTCATCCAGACCGATGGGACTTTGCTGCTTGCTGCAGACCCTAAGGTACTTCTGATCATTCAACTGCCAGCGTTACAGTGAACACAGCCTTTTATTTGCTGCTCTTTGTGTCCTGCTGCTGCTTTAACATGACCTGCTATCACAGAGTTTGAGTAATGTGTTAAAAGAAACTTCATTTAGCTGATTAATGGGTTTGGATCAATTCAGCACAGTCTCGTATTCATGCAGATGGATTCTGGACAGGGAGGCCTGGGGACACTAGCGAGTGTAGTCACGTCGTTAGCTAGCCTGAATGACTCTCTGAAAGAAAATCTGAACAGTGGTGATACTTCAGACAGCCAACAGGAGGAGCAGTCTGCCAATGAGATCACACGGTCAGTTGGTTCTGTTCAAAGTCAAGCTGAGTTTGATGTTTAAATTCTGTCCTTGTTTAGTTTGACCTCATTTGTCAAGTTGGTTGCTTCCATATCAGACAGTGTGTGAAGAGGCAAAAGGATTAGCTGTGTGACATGTTTAATCAACGGGCTTATGCTGTCATCATCACTGCAGCTTATCTACTGACATTACTCTGCTCTAGATATATTTAAATGGTAATGTCTTCATTGTTTTGTTTAATATTAGGATCAGAGTAGCTAGTTGTGCTTCATAAATGCTTTGATCTTGTCTTTACACAGCAGGGACATCTGGTCATGTGTTGAAAACAGCTGTCTGTGTGAATTTCAGTGCCTTTGACACTCTGGCCAAAGTGTTCAACCCACCTGAAGAGGGGGTTGAACAAGGTCTGGCTGAGAGGTCACAGTGTGTCAGCGCAACAACAATCCAGCTGATTGGTCAGGACCAGGAGACGCCCATCATAGAGGTGGAGGGACCACTGCTCACAGACAGCCATGTTGGTTTCAAGGTGGGTGGAGTTCACTCCTAAAGCTTCTGAGATGGATGCAAAAGCCCCTTTCCCGTTGACCCTTCCTTGTGCCACTCTTTGCTTTAGCTGACCATGCCCAGCCCCATGCCAGAGTATCTGAATGTGCACTACATCTGTGAGTCGGCATCCAGACTCCTCTTCCTCTCCATGCACTGGGCCCGCTCCATCCCTGCCTTCTCAGCTCTTGGGTGAGGAACATCTGAACTCAGGAAAAACGATTTTCCTCATGAAGCGGCACTGCCAGCTCCTGCTTCATCTGTGGGTTTTTTTTTCCCAGTCAGGAGGCAAACACCAGTTTGGTGAGAGCTTGCTGGAACGAGCTGTTCACTTTGGGTCTGGCTCAGTGCGCTCATGTGATGAACTTATCCACCATCCTCGCCGCCATCATCAACCACCTGCAGAGCAGCTTCCAGGACGGTATGGGCCAAAGACCTCATCATTTCACAGTAGGAAACACATATAATCAGGAGCTAATACATGTGTTTATTACATTGTTATATCAGTAGTTATAGCAGGTCAGCTTTAGTAGCGTGTTGTACAACTTTGTACCTGAGCTTCACAAATTAAGGTGATGTTTTTTTATGACTATTATGGGTAATCATCAACGAAATAAACCTTTATTTTATTCCTTATTCTGTATTTTGTCACCTTGTTTGCAATATTCTGATTCACTGCAGCCGTTTTTAAGTACGCCACAAAAGTTTATTTATGTTGCACACTCTCAGAGCAGGTTCATTTAAATACCGACATGTTCTACTAACTAAAGCCTAGTCTAATAAAGGCCCGAGCTGTTCAGTTCAGCCCCAAAAATACCACATCAGCGTAGGATTGATGGCATGTTGGGTCACACTTTCCTGTAAAAATAATTTATTAATATAAAATGATAAATGAATTGAAAAAGTAAAGACAGGAGAGTGAGGAGAGGTGCTCAGAGCATCGTGGGAAGTACAGCAGCAGGCTGTGGCTAAAGCAGGATAAACAACATAGTCTAGAAAAGGCAACTTTTACAATGTTCAATCTAAAAGGTAGAGAGGGTTCGTGCTTCCCAGATCCACGCTGGGCACTCAAGTCAGACACAGGAAATTAGTTTATCCAGTTTGTCTTCATGAAATAGTTTTCATTTACATAGCTGAGGATCATCTGAGTACAACTGGAAATGCCATAATGTCTCCTAATATTTACTAAATTAAGCACATATAAAGGAAAAAAAACATTATTGGCCTAAGCACAGAATGATCAGTGAGACCAATTCCACAATCTGGATACTTTCTTTTCTGTTAGACAAAATGTCAAGTGAAAGGGTGAAGCAGGTGATTGAGCACATCTGGAAGTTCCAGGAGTTCTGCAACAGCATGACCAGGCTGGACATCGACAGCTACGAGTATGCCTACCTAAAGGCTCTTGTGTTGTTTAGCCCTGGTGAGAGTCGAGCTGTCTCCATCAAAACATGATGCGTCTTCAGTCATGAGGAGGAAATAATCCGTGATTGTGTCTGACAACAGATCACCCTGGGGTGGACAGCAGCGGCCAGATTGAGAAGTTCCAAGAGAAAGCACTTATGGAGCTGCAAGACTACGTGCAGAAAACATATTCTTACGACTCATACAGGTGCAGTTATCAGTTTAAATAACAAAAGTGCATTTTGTTGTTGATCAGACCAGCTCAGACAAAGGGAGATTGGTGGGTAAATACTGAATAAAAGTAAAAGAAACTATGATGTGATGAACAGTGACCAACAGCGGCGGTCTCTGTGTTTCAGACTGACGCGTATCCTGACCCGCCTCCCTGCCCTGCGTCTGATGAACTCCAGCATCACAGAGGAGCTCTTCTTCACTGGCCTAATAGGCAATGTCTCCATTGACAGCATCATTCCTTACATCCTCAAGATGGAGACAGCAGAGTATAACAGCCAGGACTCTGACTCAGCAGAATGACAGCTCTTCCAGAACTTTCATTTAAAAGTTAAAAAGGCTCCTTTTCAGGTACATCCTTGTTTCTAGAGACATGTTCAACTGTAGTCTCAAATGCTTCAGCACCTTCTTTTTTTTTTTTCTAACAATGCATGGCACTAATTTAATCTTGAATGCTTAGTGAGCTAAAATAACATGGTGTTAAAAAGCCAGGATGGCTGGATTCAACCTGGTTTATCTGTAGTTCTGAATGACATTAGTAACATGTTTATGAAGCTGCAGCTATACTCATCTCTTCAGACATGTTCATATGACATGCGACCCTTTGCTTTTTATATCTAGCTAGTTTTAGGTTTTTACCATACTTGGATATTGATCAGATACATATTTAACCGAGACACAAACAGAAAACAGTTATTCAGAGTAAAAATAATATCTCTTACGTGTGAACGTCGTTCACCTTTTTTAAATACGGTTCTGAAATCTAAGAAACTTTTGATTTAAAAAGAAAGTATTTGTGTTAGCTTTTGCTAACACCAGCTCAGTAAAGTAGACAGTTTTCAAATAGTTGAGAAAACTGCTCTATTAGATTACATTGGAACAACTATGGCATATATTTTTCATGTTTTTCTTAATTCATGTGTAAGTTTTAATTACAATGAATTTAATTTGTAAAGTCAGGTTTTGTTGGGTTTTGTTGGGTACAACAGCCCTCAAATGAGCCGGATATTATAGTGGGGATGCGCCGATTGGATCGCGTGATTCTCAAAGGATCGGAATCGGGTGGAAAATATCACATTTCACTTAATAAAACAGCAAATCTTTTAAAATCCATCCTCAGACTGACATTTTCAAACAGAATAACAATGGCTTCCTCTACATCAATATTCTTTTCTTGGACAAAAACACCATAATGTCACACTGTTTATGGTAGGTGATTTCAGACACCAAAACATGCAGCTGTTAGCCAGCAGGCTAAATCAGAGCATACTTGTCGCCTCAGGAGGATAAAAATGTCGGCTGTTTGGACATATTTTAATTTGGACAGCAAATCAGAGCAGCAGACACTTGTAATGTGTGCATGCTGGGTATTTGACAAAGACAGAGCTACACTTTGTGTATTTGTATTTCGCTTCAGGCATCACCAAAGCAAATCATTGTCTCCATTAAGTCCCAGTTTTCCAATAATAGTCTCAGTTCACTGCAGCAGCTCAGACAAAAGCACGGAGCCAGCCGGCAGTGAAAGATACGCTAAAAAACAAAGAGAAACTGCCGACAGACTGCAAAACGTTGGGGTTTCTCAGTCTCCTGCAGCACCTGAGCCACCCACGAAGGTTACGGGTGTTGTGCAGGGAGATGTTAGCCTGCTGGCCGCGACGCTGCATGCCTACCCCATTAAGGGATTGTGCATCACTCAATTCAGCTGCACATTGAGGGTATAAACAATAGGGATGTCCCAATCAGGTTTTTTTTTGCCCTCGAGTCCGAGTCATTTGATTTTGACAATCTGCCGATACCGAGTCCCGATCTGATACTTAAAAAAGAATAAAGAAAGTGAAAAAACAGATCCAGAATTCGCCTTATTTTTCATGTAGTTAACTTTATTTTAACATTTAACAACTCAGTTAACAAACGAAGCACTTCGTTAGGTCGCTTGAACAATCAAGTGATAAATAACATAATTCATCACATTTGGAATTTAGGGTTAGGGTTAAAAAAAAACTGCTGCCTGACTTCCTACTTTTTCACGTCATCATTTGCGTTTAATGTAAGGAGATCAAAGAGATCTACCTACCGCAAAAATAGTGGCGTGTGCGCTGCGCGGCCACGCCAGTGATGTGAAGTCCCCGGAGCACGGGTGATGAACGCTGCAGCAAAGCACATCAGGCACGAACAAAGACAGAAGTGACCAGAGGATATGAGCGGACATGAACGATTGTGTGATGATTACATACTTTTTGGTTGGCGCCACTTTAAGAGTGTGACTGTGGTCGTGCAAGGATGCAGCTGCCTGTGGAGCACATGAATAATCAGCGCTTTGCCGCTCTCTGCCTCTCCGCTCAAAAAAAATCCCAGCTGAGAAACCATATAAATAAAGTAATGTAGGTAGAAACTGATGTTTTTTTGGGGGGGGGGGGGGGGTCCCTCTGGTTGTGTACGTTGAGGGCTTCTGGGGAGCCAGACAACCTTTCAGGAGAACCATGTTCCCCTTAGCTCTCCTGTAATTCAAACCCTGTATCTGAGTCTGGATCGAGAAGTAAAGCCAGATCCCAATCGAGTCTGAAACCATGTGATCGGGACCGATTTCCAAACACCTGATTGGATCTGCACATCCCTAAAAAACAAAGTGACCAGAACATCCCTATATTATAGCATTGAGCTACTAAGAAGCTAATGTAGTAATTCTCAAAACAGCACAACCAGAGCCATCTGACCTTTATCAAAGTGAAAGAGTTTTTTGTTTTGCACATATTTTCTGGTGACACACTTTCTTGTATAACATTTGCAGTCACCTCACCACTGTTTTTCTTTACCCATAATGAGTGTGTTTACATGCAGCCAGTAACCCTTTTAAAACCCGAATATTCACAATAACCCGGTTCCGCACGGCCATGTAAACACCGCCAAAAACCCGGATATGCTCATAACCGGGTTTTTAAAAACCCGGTTACTACACCTGGGGTAACCCTTTTCTAACCCGAATGTTTGGTCGTGTAAACGCATACCGGGATATCCCCATCAAAGCGTGTGTTCTGTGTATGCTCTGTTCGCAAGGAATCTTGGTCTTTTGAGTAGCGAGACGTCTTGTATGCGCCAGAACACCGGAAGAAAACAAGTTGGGAGCAATATGGCGAGTCACGGCACAGCACCACACTTTTGGAGAGACGAGGAAACCTCTGTCTTCATTGGTGGGCCAATACCAGCACTAAAGCGCAAACAAGCGCGGTCGCTAGCTCTTCTGAACTGGGAAACATGTTGTTTTCACGGATACTGGAACAAAAAGAACTGGAAATAACGCATATTGCGTCTTAACGTAGTCCATGCGTCCTGATGCTACCCCAACGTCCGCATTTAAATCGGGTTATGCAAGTTAGGGGTAAGTCTTTCTATTTATGCTTGTAAACGGGTTATTCTGATCAACTCAAACCCGAATACTGACCTTAACCCGATCATAACCCGGATATTGGCTGCATGTAAACGTAGTCATTGACAATCGGCTTTATGTTTCCCTCTACTTTATCAGTGTTAAGATGATGTTTGCCTCTCTGTATCTGTTATTTGATTGTTTACATATTATGCACAGCTATGCTACAGTTTGTGTTTTTATTAGCATTTGGGTGCACATTAATCAGCTTCGGGGATGTTCCACCTCATACAGGCTGACTAAAGTTTGTGTTTTGTATGTTTTACAAAAACATTTGTTTGTTGTAAACAATACTGTTTGTTGAATGCCAAGTGTACTTAAAGTGCTTTTGGGCAGGTTTCCCTGATTTGAAACCAGAGTAAGATGTTTTTGAGGGAAGCTAGCCTTGAGTGCATAGATGTCTTGGATACGATATAAGATATTCGTTGGCTTGACCCTCACATAATCATTCAGAATGAGCATCTGCAGTAATGTGAATGACAATATGGATGTAAATAGGTCAACAAGGCTCTTGTCTTTTGATATAAATGTTGGTTTTCTTTTTTTTTTTTTTACCTTGGGTTCAAAACTTGAAAAGACTCATTGTAAAGGCACTCATGAGAGATGACCGTAGTTATTGTAATTCCATTAAAATGGATGCATGTTGTTTTTTAAGCAGGGTTTTATTACCTTCCCCTCAGCCCTAACAAGGAGCATTGTTATCATTTTTATAGTGCATTGTAATGTATGACGTTGCTTAAGCACCACTTTTAAATGCAGTATGGAAAATGTTGATTTAAATGTTGTGGCTTTAAAATATTTACCAAGAGCAGCTCACACATCGATATTTTCCTTTGTGGGTTTGATCAATGTTTTTATACTGTAAACGTGTTCTGTTTATAGAGATGTGTGTCTGCAAATGTTTAAATTGAGATTTCAAACAACATTCGTTGGTAACAACCCTACATTTCTACCTCATGTTTGAATCAAATGTTTTAATAAATGAGCTCTTGTGTCAGCATTCCCAAAGCCATCTGTTTTAAACTAAATAAACCGCTGTTCATTAAATATAACAAGACTGATGTTCATGCTTCATTAAAAACATTTCTTATAAATATCTGTAGAACGTTTCCTGTTTTCTAAAAAAAAAAACCTTTTAAGTCAGCTGGCTGGCTTTTACGCTATAAAAAGGGCACTTTCAATTAATATAAAATTCTGTGTATTACTGACAAGACTTTAAATGATGACATTACATGTATTTTATTCTAGTGTTTCGACAAAAGATAAAAATCTCCATAAAAATGTAATTGATTAATAGAAACGTGTTTTTTTTAAATAAATAAAAACAAACAACTTTCTGTGGTAAACGTGTTTATGTTGCACATAGGTACTGGCAGTGTTGGGAATGTTACTTTAAAAAAGTAATTAGTTATAGTTACTGATTACTTTGTCAAAAAAGTAACTCAGTTACTAACTGAGTTACAAGATCATAAAAGTAACTAATTACCAACAAAAGTAACTGCTTAGTTACTTTTTTCATTAAAGAATGCAAGAATTACTACAATAGTGAAATATAAATGACTAATGACTGAACATAATAAAATTTGTCCAAATGTTTTCTATAAACCTGAATAATTTAAACAAATAAGCACTTAACAGGAGGAACTACTAATAGGAACATTACACTAATCTAGACTATTAAAAGGTCACTGTGTGATATTTAACAAGACCCCAATCAGCTAAAATTTAAAATTGCAAATAGAAACACCTGTAAAGGTTCCCGAGCCTTTAAATGGTCTCTCAGTCTAGTTAAATTACAGAAATAAATGTAATTTTGCACAGTATTCTAATTTTTCCAGCTTCACATAATTGTGTGTTTTAGCAGCATTTCTGTTGCTAATCTGGTAACGGTTAAATAAATAAATAAATATCCTTTAAAATGACACTAGAAGAGGCACAAGCCTGATGGAGGACTCACATTTACTAACTTGGGTCAGACCCAACCACAGAAGAGCTGAAGCTGGGTGGTGAACACACACAGGTAGTTCTGATAACACCTGAGCTCCATGACGTCTGAGACAGATGCATCAGTGTTACAGCGGGACTAAAGACATGATCAGGAACAGGTTACAGCTGGATGATCTAGGAAGGTAGAAGATCAGGACGTCTGAGCGGTGAACAGGTGAGCGGACCTTCGGGACGTCCCGCTGTCATGCTAAGGGCACGGCTGCAGACCCGCAGATTCGCTGCTGCAGCAACAAATCTGCGGGGGGTCTGCAGCCGTAGACTATTCACCACGTGTTCCTCGTTCTTCACGGGCCGTGATGCTCTTAAACATCTGCCTCTATAGTTCCTGATCAGCTGATGACGGCTCCAACACACCGCGCAGCTTAACGCACGCATTTCCTTATCAGTAACAGAAATGACGTTTTGATAAAAGAAGACGTAATTAATTAGTTTGCTCGTTACAGAAAGAAATATTTTTTATTAACGCGGTTATTTTAAACGGAGTTATTCCCGTTGTGTCTACAGAATGCAGCGACTGAGACGGTGAGGGTCTCCGCCCACCCGGTCAATCATCATCGTGTTTGTAAGCGCGTTACCGACACCTCTCTCTCCCTGGCTGCAGCTGAAGTGTGGCGGTCAGAAAGCCTCACACTGTTGCTCAACGTTCGACAAGCACATAGTAACGCACAACGTTCCGTTCCCAGTAACGGTAACGGCGTTGCAACGGCGGGAAAAGTAATTAATTAGATTATTCCGTTACCTATAAAAGAACGCCGTTAGAAACGCCGTTATACTTAAACGGCGTTACTCCCAACACTGGGTACTGGTAGGTGGAGATGTAGAAAGAGATGAAACTTCTAATCTTCTAAATCTTTACGCATAACTGTTACGCGCCCGTAAATAAACTACAGTTCCCACCACTTCCGGGTTGCGGTGGCTAAAACGTCATCATTTTGCGTCAACTTGGCGTGCTTGCTTGTCTGATTGAGAGAGGCGTAAGACATTTGTGGATATTTTGTTAAAGAATAAAGCTTTAGGATGCCTATGAAAGGAAAGTTTCCGATCAGACGGACGCTTGAGTATCTCAAGAAGGGTGACGTCATCTTTAAAAACAAGGTGAAGATCATGACGGTGAATTACAACACTTCCGGAGAGCTAAGCGAAGGAGCAAGGTCAGAGAAAACTACTACATCCCATGGAAATACTAGGACTGTAGCAGTCTTTGTCTCTTAGAAGTATTTAGTCACTTAGAGCAACGTTTTAGCGAAACGTATTTAATTATTATTATAAATATTATTAAACAATTAGTGGCACGGCAGCCTGGGCACATTTTTATTAAAAATGTACTGTTTTCATTCATGCTTTAGTGTCAAACGTGATCCGCTTTTGATCTTTTCTTCTTGTTTTTGCAGAAAGTTTGTTTTCTTCAATATTCCCCAGATCCAGTACAAAAACCCGTCGGTCCAAATAATGATGTTTAAAAACATGACACCATCCCCGTTCTTGAGGTTTTATCTGGGTGAGTATCACGTGTGATCTGATAGAATGAAGCCTTAGTCCTTTTGAGTTGATTTCCTGTTCCTCTGAATCCAGATGATGGAGAACAAGTACTGGTGGACGTGGAAGGGAAGGACTACAAGCAGATTTCACAACATATTAAAAAAATCCTGGGCAAATCAGAGTAAGTTTGTGGGTGGTGTTGGTTCAGATCATTTTTAAACCTCTAAAATTGTTTCATTTCTGTTTCTTAATCTCTTGATCTTTGCTCAACAGTCAAGTGTTAGAATCTGAAACTCAGGCCAAGATGCAGGCCTCCAACCCCGCCAACTTTGGCCCAAAGAAGTACTGTCTGAGGGAGTGCATCTGTGAAGTGGAGGGCCAAGTACCGTGTCCCAGCATCAAGCCACTGCCTAAGGAGATGACGGGAAAATATCGGGCTCGGATGGCAGAGGCACAGGAGTGAGAAGCTGGAGTTTTACTGGAAAATATTTTCTGTTTATTTTGCATTTCAACAACAGACTGTTATTCAGCTCCAGCCTAAAGCAGCAGAAGCCCACCGAACCCACGACCGGCTTCTGTAAATACCCAAACATACCCTCATTGCAGGAAAAACTGCTCAGATAAAAGACTCAAGTGCTCGTTGTTATCTTGGCCTCCCAACCTTTCTGGTCCTGATCCTACTGAGCATGTGCAAGACAGGCTGAAACATGGCTGATCCCTGCTGCCCACAGTAGTTAGCGACAACGGTCACCATATTTTATTAATGTTTTTTAATCAACACTGCGATGGAAATGTTTTGCGTTAATAAAATGGTTTTGTCTCTTTTGTTAAAAGCAGAGGTGTGAAATCAGCGTCTAACCGTTACAAAATTAAAAATGCTTAATCTTTACAGATGAAGAAACCAAACATGGTTTGAACAGAAGCATAAACATGCTGACAGAAAGCACAATAAACTGTTTTAGGGCACATTTAGCAGCTGGATGATGACTCCAGCTAGTGTTTATTTAGCGTGAGTCAGCCTGATTAAAATAAGAGTCTGAACTGTTTGGATCTAACGGTTTATTTGATCAGGACAAGTATGTCCCTTTTCTGTACACAGCAGGATTTCAGGATTTTTACATATTTGACTCCCCAATTACAACCATCTGGTGTCCTGACAACAGTATCCACTGCCTAGTGTTTGCCGCTTAAACAAACTGAGCTGAACAGAAAAATGCATCACAAACAGGATTTTGACAGCGCAGATCCTCGCGAGTCCAGCCACCAACTCCCAGCCGGAACAGACGAACACGGAAAACAGTTTTGTCACACTCGGCTTTTTGTGGAAACTCAAATGCAGTTTTCTTTGACTCGTGTCAGAGATGAAGTGCAATAAAAATCAGCTCAGGATACAAACACGGATACTGTTACTGAACAACATCTGGATTCAGTTTAACATTAATAAATGTACGGTGGCAGATTTTAACAGCTGTTATTGGGCAAATACTTGATCTCAGCTATTATATTTACATTTACTTATTAACAGCATTAGAAAACTTAAAATGACTATTCTACACTGAAATGACTCATTGCTGTAAGACGGACCTTTGATTTTAATTTCCTCTGACCAGCGGGATGCCAAAATGCTGAAATTAAAGTCGGCATATTGTTTTGATGAAAAAAGGAGACATTTTGTTCTTTACCCTGTTAGAACGGCTAGATTTTAATGCTGCAGCAATGGTAACATTTTGTTCACAGCTTTTATTAGAAAGCTAAATCATGTTCTGACCAATCAGAGACCAAAGACTGTTGTTCACCTTTGCACCGCTGTTACTATTGTGTGCATGTCTTCATGCCTGAACAAATGATCTGTTCAGAGCTTCGCACGAGTGCAGCGGTGGACTCCAGCTGGACACCGAAGTGTTTGGTGACTAAATCCAGCTAGTAAGTCTAATACTTATTTATTCACATGATTAAAGGGATTCCTGTTTTTATTGGGGTTTGTAAAATACAAGCAGTCTGCTCTAAGCACAAGCTGAGATGGATCAAAGGGCTGCTGTGTAAACATTTGCTTGAACCAATGAGATTTTTTTTAGTTTAATGTTATTGTACACAGCAAAAACCCTTTTCTCCTTCTGAGCATTAATTATTTTGGTTTGGCCAACACAATGAAAATGTGCTATAACAACTCTACTGCAGCTAGTACACCAACAGCTCATAAACACTCCACACAGCCTCCCCAAACAAATAACTATCCCTTTAATCAGGCTGCCCGACTAGCCTTGCTTAGCAGGGTTGCTAGTTGTGTAAAGTGATTAGCCTTATGGGACTTGTTAAGTAGCAGGCGATCGGGGGCTAAAATGCATCAGTGCTTCTTCTTCTGTTCCTGTAAAGTGTGCAGCAGCTCTTTCAGATTCTTTGACAACAGCTCGACCTCATCAAGACGGCCGCTCAGCTTGGCATCAAAGATGTAAGCTCTAATGTTGTTGATCTGCTGCAGCAGCAGTTCCTCCTCAATCATGTCCACGTCGGGCAAAACCTCATCCTCGTCCACATCAAAGGGGTTGGTCGACACCTCGGGAGAATTTCCAGAGGCCTCCATGAAGGGGTTACCGGCGTCGGTGTCATCCTCCTCAAAAGGGTTTGTGGGTACAGCCTCAACCTGCTGGTCCTCCACCGTGTCTGCATCTTCATCAAATGGGTTGTTTTCCTTCTTCCCGTTGGTTACTCCTTTGCATTCCCTCTGGATGTCCTCAAAGAAAGGATTAGATGGATCTTCCTCAATGGGAGTAGAGTCCTCCTCTTCAAATGGGTTAAGGGAGGTGTTGCTCTGGCCTTCACTGCTAGGGGGCGTTACATGGCCTCCTAAACTCCTTAATCTTGGAGGGGATTCCTCTTGGGTTGTAAGAGAGGAGCATGCCCTTACAGCTGATGGACTTCCATCGGCTTTACTAATCAGGACCCCTGTGGTGTCCTGCTCACCCTGGTAACCTGCTGCTGGGCTGATGTCCAGAGATGGACAGGTGGAGGACAGCTGGGTGCTGAACCTGGAGCCCCACTGCACTCTCTCCAGGGCCTCCAGACGCTGGAGCTCCTCCTGCTGTAAGCTCTCCTCCTTAGCCTGCTTCTTAGAAAGTTCAATAGCGAGACGGGTCTGTTGCTGGTCATACTCATCGTGCAGCTGCCGTAAGTTCTCTTCCAGCATGGCGACCTCGTCTGCTCTTTGGGCTTCACGCGCCTGATTAAGGAATGATTCAATGTTTGCAATCTGCTGGAGGAGGGGGTCTTCCAGGTCACTACCTACATGGACGGAGTCTGCAGAAGGTAACCAACCACCAGCTTTAGTCATGCGTGGTTCTCGAGGGGCCTGTAGCAGCTCCCCATTGGCTGGTGGACGGTTTTTCTCAGACTCCTGTCTCCTCTTTAGAGACTCCTGAGCTCCCTGCTGAGCAAGAGATAAAAGTCCGGATTTAGAAACGAGTTTGTCCAGCGAAAAAACATCAGACTGGAACTTATTCTCACCAGTCGCTCTAGCTGGAGCCTCCTTTCTTGCTCTTGCTTCCTCTTGTCTTTCAGCTCTTCGTACTTCTCTTTAGTGGGTAAAGACATCAGGCCCAGCAGCTTCTCCTAAAACAGAGAAGACACAAAAAAGGGAACAAAAGTTCTAATAATCCTCACTTCTACTACATGTGAGGCAGATCTTTCACAACCCCACAATAACTAGCAAAGACATCCAACCCACTTACCTAGCACTGAGCCGATTACAGGTAAAACTATCTTTAACTGATTTCAACTTAACAATGCCCCTTTGGTCGGAGAGCATCTGGGGGCATCCTGGAGGGTCTGACACATACCGGCGAAACTCCAAAAATTAGAATACGGTGCAAAAGTTAATTTATTTATTTAATAAGTGGGATAGACTCCTTACATGCAAATCCAGATATTTCAGCCTTTATTTGTTGTAACTATGGTGATAATGGAGTGCAGCTTATGAAAACTACACATTCAACATCTCAGATGATTAAAATAATGTGAAAAGTCAAAAAGAGTCAATATTCTAGACTCAGAGTGTCACACTCTAATCATCTAATGAATCCAAAATACATGCAAAGGGTTCCTGAGCCTTTAGATGGTCTTTCAGTCTAACTGGTCTTCCAGGCTGTACTGTGAGACCTCTTTGAATGGTCCAGAACGCAGTGGCATGTGTGGTCTTCAATCAGCCAAAAGAGCACACGTCACCCCTCTGTTCATTGAGCTCCACTGGCTACCGCTAGCAGCACGCATCAAATTCAAATTGCTAACACTAGCATACAAAGTCCGAGATGTACGGCTCCCATCTACCTGAATCCTCTTGCAAAGGCTTACGTCTCGGCCCGGCCGCTCCGGTCATCACAGGATCGTCGGCTAGCAGTGCCTACACCACGCTCAGGACAATCCAGACTCTTCTCATGCATCGTTCCACAAATGTGGAATGACCTTCCAAGCACTACCAGAACTGCGGCTTCTTTTTCAATTTTCAAGAAACTCCTGAAGACCCTGCTCTTCAGAGAGCATCTTCTTAACTAGCACCTTGCCTGCACCCGTTCCCCCTCTCTACTGTCCACTCCTTGTTCCCTACTCTCCATGACTGATGTCAATGTTGTTGTTATTGTTGTTGTTGTTAGCCACAAGGGCAACATGCCGATTATCACTTGTAAGTCGCTTTGGACAAAAGCGTCTGCTAAATACATAAACATAAGTTGGATTACTGACATAACTGGACTTTTGCTCCATTTTCCCAGATGGTAGCTACAAATCCATTGGGTTGGCAGATTGTATCAAACATATCAAACACATTTTGATAAACTTCTGAACTAAGCCACGATTCCCAGCTCTTACATGTCCTCTTTGGCTAAAACTTCAGTTTGGCTTTTTTTGTTTAAGCCATCAACTGTCTTCACTTGGTCTCACCTGGACAAAGAGTGTTGCCATGTATCGTATCATCCTCTGAAGCTGGAGTGCTTTCGGGGGCGACGGTGGGTTGTTTTTAACTCCTAGTGTTAAAATCTTCTTGCTGGGGAAATTAAAACCAAAGATTTCTGTTGAACTCTTAAACTTAGACAGCTGTGTTTCACTTTGAAGTATTAGTGACAGCGTATGTGTACCTTAGAGCATCAATTAGTTCATAGTACTTCTGGACTTCCAGCCTCAGTCCACCTGCCGTGTCAAGATTGTAGGTGGTTTCTCCGGCACTTTGGCAGGAAGAAGTAAAACATTGTCAGATTAAAATGAAAACAAATGTGAAATGGTTACATCAATACTTTTTAATAGTGCTTACTTGAGAGACTCAGCCATTCGAATATACTCTGGAGCTTTTTCTTCCACCTTCTCCATGCACATCCTGAGTCTCTGGCAGGAAAGCCCAGAAAGTAAACAGGAAGTGGCAGGAAGGATACAGCAGTGTAAACAAAAAGAACAGAACTGTAGCTGAAGGGAAGTTTTCTGGGACTGTTAGACCAACCTCATAAAGTTTCACTACATCTGGAACGTGATCCTTCTCATCCAACTTCTGCTGTCTCTTCAGCAGCGTGTCCATGCAGTGGTGACAGCAGCGGATCTTCTCATCGTCCTTCTCCTCCAGAATAGAAGCAACGCTGCTCAAACTGCTGATGCTGCCCCTCCTGGAGCCCATTCCTGCTGGCTGATACTGAGTCTGGCTGGGACTTCCAGGAACACACAGGGCCTCTCGGGTCCCATTAATGAGCTTCTCTGATAAATAAAAACAAAAGAAGGAAATAGCAGCACTGAGCAACGAGCTTCTGCTCCTGCGTTTGGATTTCTTTGATTTCTAAGATGTTGATACATACGAGCCAAAGGTAGAGGGACGAACTCCATGCACCTTCTGCACATGATGGATCCACAAAGGCGACAGTGGTGGCGCCGGTTCCGGATGTTGAACTTGTTTCCACAGTCGGGACAGAAAGGGACGTCTGAGTCATTCACCCAGGGCACTACAGATTTCTCAATGGCTACAGAGAAAGTTAACACAATATGATTTGTGACATATTATAAAAAGCATCCACACGGTAAGATTTAACTGAGTTATAACAAAAAATATACAAACCTCTGATTTTAGCAGAGTCTGAGCTGGTTCTATCAAACGCTGTCAACTGAAACGTCAAATTTAAGGTTAATGGTTGTTTAAACTTATTTCAGGAGGAACATTGTGGTTCAAGCACACCTTTTCCAGTCTGATGATGAGCTTGTTGACTTCAATGACATAATGGTCTATCCGGGCTGCTCGGTGCTTCTTAAAAAACTCCAGGTGACTCCTTCTTGCTCCTATAAGAAAAATAAATAAATAAACACAATGTGTAAAAATAAAGTTTGTTCTTCCTGGCATTTACATCTGAATGATTTTACTAATAAAGTGTGATTGGATGTGAAAAGCCCAAACAAATAAAAGAGGATTTAAGTCCTGTTCACCCAGTTCCTGAGGTTCCCACATATATGGGTCCACTCCGCCGTAGTAGAAGGACTCATAACTGCCGGTGTCCGGTCTGTCATCTCCATCCCTCTTCAGCAGCTTATCTTTGGCTTTCTTTGCTTTCTGAACCAAACCTAAATACACACACACACACACACACACACACACACACACACACACACACACACACACACACACACACACACACACACACACACAACAAATGAAAAATCAGAGGGAATGTGTTAAACACAGGAACATGCACTGATTTTCTAAATCCTAAACACTAACCCAGCATGCATGTGGAACCTTTATGAACCAACGTTTATGCACAACTCACCTTGACCTGTAGATAAAACGTCATTCTGCTCATGTTCAGTAGTAACACCACTGCACACGTTACACTTAAACACTTCTGGATTTTAAAGGCTGATTTCAATAAGAAAAGAAACCTATCCAACAACTAAAGGCATTGTCTAATTCACACAGAGGTAAGTGCTCTGCACTAATGGCAAATTGTGAAAAGTACAGAGGACAGCGGCGTGTCCAGATCTTTTAAAATGGGGTGGCCCAGGTGAGGCACAGCTTTGTGCATGGGTGGCACCAATGGTTATGCTTTCTTTGTTTTACCCCCAAGCCATTTGTGGACAATGAAAAGCCTATTTAAAGGTTAAATAGTGTGGTGGCACCTGGGGTGGCCAATCAGATTCCAAGGGTGGCATGTGCTACCCCAGGCCACTCCCTGGACACGCCCCTGACAGAGGGGATGAATGGAAACTTCAATTTTAGTCACACAAATATGAGAATAAAACAGGAACTTTGTCAAGTGAAAGCCAGAAACCAAATCCTCCAATGCAAGATCCAGCAGTAAGATGACGAGTGACTGACTGGAGCTTAGATTAGTTTTACATAAATATTACAAAGTAACGGTGAGTCAATTTACCTGATTCTTCTGAAAATAAGAAAAAACTATTTACTATCTTAGAACTGATCTTTGCAGTTTGGTATTGTAGTTCAACTTTAAAAAGTAATTTAGCAGCTTTTTAATTATTTATGCAGCTGGACCCCTCCCAAAAACTATTCCAATAAATCCAAGGTGATTCATATCTAAAATTTTCATGGGTTACAAATGAACTATAATCTGATTATGACTGACACAGGTCAGGACTTACTTTTGAGCTGTCCTCGAACATGACCATCGTCCCCCGAGTGCTCATCATAGTGTCCTTGGAGTTGGTAGAATGACTGAAGGTCTTTAAAGCACAGAGGGCAAATAAAGCCCTCCTTTACTTCACCGGTGCCCTCTAAAGGAGGTGGGTAGCTGGAGGCCATGATGACAGAAGGATGTTCTGTTGTTCAGGAGGTGAGGTGGCATGATCCTCCTTGGGCCAACATGTCACAAGGTGTTCAAAGTAAATCTAATCGACTCCATAACAACTGTAGGGGAAAAACTACCTGATGAATATAGACACCGAATCAAACAGACTAAATACACAATAATTTCCAAGCATAACCTCAATTTATAGATTTAACTGCAATAAACTGTGTGATTTGGTGAGTATACCAAGTTAAACCAGATCCTGGGGTTAGAGTGAAATTTACAATAGAGATCCAATTTATTTGAGCACCTTTAGGTCACGACGGAACAGAAAATGTCCACTTTCTGCTCTGAAGAAAACTCATGCAGCTGCACAATGAAACATTAGCATTAATCTATATTTAATCAGGTTTCACCGGGACATAACCAGCTACGGTTAGCTTTAAGTCAAAACCACGTTATTAAGTTCATTTGTTAGCTCCTTACAGAAATGCAACACGTGGACTTCTGGCTATGTCTTGAGTGTTTCTATTAGCTTAATGTGTCAAATTTAATCACCGTTACATAAAGACAACAGGTTAGCTTAAGAATGCTAATCTCGTTTTCTTTAGCTATTGTTTCTCCAACCACACCGCTCAAAGCAAGAGGACAGAACAACGTCTGACCACGCATAAACAAACACTTACGCCCTTCATGAAATATTTCAATTTTAGGCCAAAATGTCTCCGAGAATTGCTTTTGTTGACAGTTTTTTCTTCTTGACAGCTAGACAACAGAAGCTGCAGCAGCCCCACCTGATCATGTGACCGGCCTTTCGTCGCTGCTAGTGGGAGCGAAAAGGGACAAACGTCAGAGAATAAACGCGAACTAACAATAAAATAATGGTTTCACTTCGCTAATTTTCTCTCATATTACACTTATCATTGAGTAATTTTAATTTATCTTAATATCACATTGAACGTCAACATAAAGCAGATTTCTTGGAGCATTTTCTTTTATCAAAACAATATTACCGAAATCAGTGACAACCGATCATTCAGTAGAAAATTGCTTTAATTATAAGATCTGCAGTTTTGCTGATTATTCATGTATTTTTTTGCACATCAGCATTGCCTTTTTATTTCTTTATAAATGCATTTGGATTAACAAAATGTGAAAAGTTCGCCTATTCTGAAATGTGTGCAGGGTACACAGTTTCTAAAAGATTTGCAGAAGCCAACTTTTAAAATTACATTGAGGATGTTGTTTCAAACATGAAACACACAAATATAAACTCCGTGCAACTCTGGATTAACTAGATGGTCACGTTTACCTTAATTAAAAATGTGCATGAGCTTGTTGCAAGATTGTTCAAAATGCAGTGTTTTATATGGTTTGGGTAAAGACTGTCAAATAACACTTTTTAAAAACTTAATTTTTCTTATTTCACAAATTGTGTGTATTTTTTTCTTCTTAAATCCTCCTAATGAAATCCGTCATGTTAGGCGTGACAGGAATTTTGTGGAGCACAAAGGTGGAAGAAAGGAGGTCTTGAGGGATCTGGCTCATTTGAGTTGAGCCCTCTGAAGAGCCCATCAGTGTCCGAGCTTCAGTAGGATGATGCCATAAATGTGTGGAAAGGATTTATTTCTTGTAAAGTTCAGAAATAATTTGAAATTAAAACATCTTGAAAGGGTAAAACAGATGATTATGATTTGCATTATTTAAGGGCTCATGTGAAAAATAGTGAGCAGTCAGTGTGTTTGAGAGGCATGCACTTTACTAAATAAACTATAAACAAATAATGCAACCCTAATATCGATGCATTTAAATCTATTAGGGCTATTTTCTTTTGTCATTTGCTCAGATTTTTGGACTTGTATGAGAAGTTGATCAAAACGGCATAATGCATCATTTTTTTTAATTATTATTATTAATTTCCATATTGATTCTGCACGTGCTGGTGAGGCTCTGATGGAACCAACCCAATCAAACAGGTATGCTTGGGGCTTCATGAAGAGGCGGATTATTCCATCAGATTGCACTCTTATCAGAGCTGAGATTGAATAAGAAAGCAAGCAGCAGCACACTTAATTTGCTGTAGTAATCTTTATATTTTACATACGTAGAAAATAAAACATAAATCAGCCACTTGAGAGATTTTCTTGCTTCACGTGTGGTCATCTTCTGCTTATCTAATCTCACGTTCTACAAAGGAGTTGCCTCACAGAGGCAACATCTCTGGAGCCTTTACTTGTATAATCCTATGATTTGGCGCAAGCAGAAATACTCTAATGAACATAAAAAAATCTCAAAGTAGTTCAAAATTACAGAGTTCACACATGGCACCGACTCTTTTTCATCCTTACTCACAGGAAGTTCTACATTTGGAGGAGAATTACGCACTGGCGCCCCAAAGAAAATGTCAGATAAATGCCGAAATGCGTAGACAAAACAAACTCTGCGCCAAATAAAACGTTTCATAATTCATTCTGGTCAATTCGTTTATACGTTTACAACATGTTACTCTCTTTCCATTAAGTCTTCCTCCGGTGCAAACCTTTTACCCGGATGCTGTCTCTTCTCGGCATGGCTCTTGATGTCGTCTAGAAAGTCGAGCAGCAGAGACTTATTGCAGCTGTTAGGGTCCAAAGCGTCACACGGACTGTCGGTGCTTAGTTCCGGACTGGTGTTATCCCAAAACCGTTTTCCGGGGTGCTGACGCTTTTCTAAGTCGGAGAGATCTTCGTCTCCATCCCTAGTCCAGTCCCCATCGTCCTCCTCATCCTCCAGATAGCGCTTACCTGGATGCTGGCGCTTGGTGTGCAGCACCAGGTAGCGCTTACCCGGGTGTTGCCGTTTGGAAAGTTCACTAAGCAGAATGATGGGGGTGTCCGAAACGTGTCCCGTCGCGCGCTTTCCCGGGTGTTGCCGTTTTTGAATCCCCGTGAAGGAGTGCATTTCATTTTCGCGCTTGCCGGGGTGCTGCCTCCTCTCCATGTCCAAGTGGAGCTCATCCTCGTCCTCCTCTCTTCTGCCTGGGTGCTGCCGCTTCTCCAATCCTTCGCTGTACCTCTTACCGGGATGCTGGCGCTTTGTAACCCATTCTGGATGAGAGAAACCCCCATCTGGAAGCAACGATCACATATTCAAGTTTTTCACAAGTTACCAAGTCCGACTGCATCCTTTCTGCGCACATGACTCGTGCGTAAAATGCGCGCAACAGAACGTTTGTATCATTCCTACTAGAGGAAGATTCCTCAATTCATTTACTCAACACTTTACTTAAAAGGACAGCGTTAACAGTATTCTACGATTAGTGTAAAGGTCATTGCTGCAGTATACAAACATGAAAATAAAGCTAAAAAATGTGTACAAGTTACCATATCGGTCCAAAATCGCCCAAACCTTAACAGTGCAGCAGCAGAACTCCTTGAGAGACATTTATTAAAAGAAAATAAAAAAAATGCATAACACGATTTCAATCTAAAGTCAGAAACTGTTTCCCTTTTGCTAAAAAAATAAACAAAACCAGTTTTACGCACCATCTTGTCCGTTTTCACCCTGCAGCTTTTTGAGAATCGATCTTAACAGAAGACTTTCGGCTCTCTGGAGGATGATGTCATCTATGGTGGTCCCTCGGTCCGTCTCCTCCTCAGCCGAGACGCCTTGTCCCTCTGACATCTTCAAGTTGCAGACCACGAAAGAAGCCAAGATGAGCAGGCATGCCGACTTCATGGTAATGGTTTGTTCGTCTAATGAAGAGATGGGAACCACATCACAGAAACGTCAGTTCTGCAAGGGAAAAAAACTGAAATAACAAATCTCTTCTACTAAATTTTTATCTTGGAGGAAATTCGTTAAAAGCGCGATGCACTAACATGGTAAAAAAACAGCATTTACATCTCCTTTAGAGAAAGATAAAGCTGCTTCAAATGAATAAACGAACGCGCATTAAATAAATCCCACTATCTAAAACGTGCCACGCTCACCTGAGCGGTTTCCTGTTGCGTCTCCAGCCTCTCGGTGGTGATTTAAAGGTTGGTCCGGCGTCTCGTGACCCTTACTGCCAGGTCTGGAGGTATGAGCTGACAACTTTTCGGCTCGGAATTTATACTTCCCAGTCACTGTCGTCATCCCAACCCTGGAGTAATTTTTCAGAATCCCTCGTCCCCACTGATGTCACCAAGTCGTGCGCAGCTGGATATGGTGAACGATCGCCCTACAAGGCCTGCTTCCTAATCGTTCTTTAGAAAAAGCAAAGTGAGGCTGAGATGAACGCAGCTCAATAAAAGTTTCAAACAGATGAGAGATAGTTATCTATTACTGTTTTCTTTTTGTTTATTTGATGCTTTATTTTATTTTCTTGACATTCTGAATCAGATTTGGCTCGTGCGTTTATTTTTATTCTAAGGAATCTAAAAGGTCTGGCATGTAAAGGCTCCAGTGAGATGAAGGCTGCCCCTATAACTCACAGGAAGCAGGAGGAGAAACTGAACCCATCTGGCTCTAAAGCATTATCTGGTCACGATGAAACTCTGCTGGATGCATTCAAGGATCTACATCACAGTGTGTGTGTGTGTGTGTTGGGGTGGTGGTGGGGGGGAGGGGGGTGGGGGGGGGATGAGAAGTTAAGGGTTACCACAGCCTTATCATTTTATTTCTGATTAATCAAAATGTAATCCTTATAAGTGAAAACGTTTTAAAATGAGCAGAAATTAAACAAGAAAACATCAAAAGTCAAAATTTGATTTTTTTATTCAATTTATTTTTTGCAACAGCTTCACAACAATTGTGTGGAAGCTGAACCGGCCTGCCTGTTGACTAAACCTGTTACCAAAATAAAAAAATCACATGAAACACACCAAACCTCAGACAAACAGGTAGGTCCAAATAAACGTGTGTTCTTTGCATGTTGAACTCAAGTTGTAAACCCTGATATGCTGCTTTTGTTTTGACAGCAGCTGTGATTTAACACCAACTGTTTGAGAGATGCAAGTTACTCCGAGAACAACCAGCTCACACTAACAGAGGTTTTTCTGTAGAGCCAGGGGTGCACATGAAGAGAGAGATCAATGATGGGGGCTGGAGCCCCTTAAAGATCACATGGTATCATCCATGACGCTGAAAGCAACGGGCTAGTTCATATTATTCAGAATAGTGTCGATGCTATAAATTTGTTATAAAAGTCCTTTTGATTGAGAAATCAAACTGTATTTCTGCTCTATTTGAGTTCACCGGATGTGAAGTGGGTGAGAGATCTAAAGCCTCACCTCTACAGGTGAGGAAAACAGATATAAGGGACTTTCACTTTCACACACACACAAAACTGTGTTTTCACCTCATCCAAAGATATTTGCTGCAGGATGAAAACATCTTTGCATTTCTGGACATTGGCATTCCATTCCTGCCCAGAAAGCAATGTGCAATTATCCATTTGAACAGAGGAGTAATCTCATAGATGTGGATGTAAACACGCTGCATTCATCTGAGATGGGGGCCGACATGTTCATATGGTAGGCCAAAAGCTCACACAAATGATGCACAGCAGACCAGCTGGAAGCCTGTGGGTGGTGTGTGTGTGTGTGTGTGTGTGTGTGTGTGTGTGTGTGTGTGTGTGTGTGTGTGTGTGTGTGTGTGTGTGTGTGTGTGTGTGTGTGTGTGTGTGTGTGTGTGTGTGTGTGTGTGTGTGTGTGTGTGTGAAGATCTAAGTACCGAGCCGGTCACTCTCCTGCTGATACCAAGAACCTTGAAGAAACTGTGGATGTTTTCGTGTGTAATTGGATTCTTTGCTCTTGGAAAATATTTAGTTCAGGAAACACACTTTAAAATGAGACTTCTCTTCCTACCTACCTACCTCACATTTCCCCCAATTCTTTTGTAAGCTAATCTGTCAGTCATGCAGTGGTTCTGTCTGAAGGAAGTCCTGCCCGTGGTCGTTCTCGGTCGGTGCTGAAAATGAGTGTGAATTGAAACGACCGTGTAATTCCATCAGCGTGCTGCCACATCCAATATTTCAGGACGGATCAGACTTGCTCTGAAAGAAATACCTGAGTCAGGGTTAAAAAGATTCAATATGTTATGAAAAATGTTACTAAATAGAAACAAATGAATCCACTGTGAGGAAATGCGTATGCAAGTAAAGCGATGCAACGATGGGTTCGTTAAACTGTGCAAAGAAGAATCAGTTCCCTGTGTGCTGGAACACCAACCTTTTTCTTCACCGCACCGCTTCCAGGACAGGAAGTGACAGTACTGCAATTAAAACACGGCCGATCATAGGCATCCTCCTCCTTACACCTGTCACAGGTCGCCTCCTCCTTTTAGACCGAGTGTGTAATGACACGCTCAAAGGAACCAATTAAACGCTCAAGAAACAGCACTGTTGGGTTTTGGTTAGGACAATAGAACAGAATGTCTTTTTCATGTTGGGTGGTTCTGCTGGACATGGTTCATCATCGTGATGCCCTCATTTAACAATTAAAGCAAACACAAATGAATGCAGCAGGTGTAGCAGCAATCAGGCTTTTTCTGTTCATCACTCTGAGGCTGTGATCAAAACTCAGCTTCTTTCTCTTAAATCAACCCTCACTCATCTTAACAAAGCCAGCAGAATCCTGCAGGGCTTGGGAATCTTAATCGGTATTCTGGTCAGCATACGTATGTTGAGGAAGTGGATTGTTTAAGTGTACACGCTGTGCAGTGGGAGGGCACGATGACAGTCATTAGTCTTTGTTGCGCTTGTTCCTGCCAGTGCTGAAATGCATTCACAGTCATGAGGAGATTTACTAGCGTGTGTGAAGAAACTTTCTGTGATGTGTTCACGCTGCAGCGTTTCTCTTCTGCTTGGATCCAAAGCCTTCACCAACATGTGGGTTTAGAGGCTCAGCTTCCATCTTTAACTCAAAGGCTGATGCTGTGATCACATTCATTATTTAAGTTACTTAAACCTGTAGGTTGTGGGGAACAACAACAAACCTCACGTCAAGCTTCAGTTGGGCACAAATGAGTGGTCACAGTTGCGGCTCATTAGGGGTGGAGCTCTAGGAGAGCGTGACGTTTTTTTGTCCAACGTGAGCTCTAATCGCGTGAGGTCGACAGGTGGATTGGTGCTGCGTCTGCAGCGATGTGGACGTTTTACCGCTCTGTCGTGGTGAAGAGAGAGCCGAGCCGGAAGGCATAGCTCTCGATCTACGTTACTACCCTCACCTATGGTCACGACTGAAGAGTGTTGGGTAGTGACCAAAAGACCAGATTGTGGATACAAGTGGCCAAAATGAGTTAAATGGCCTGTATTTGATATAGCGCCTTTTAAAGTCCTGGAACCCCCCAAGGTGCTTTACATCACAATCAGTCATTCACCCATTCACACACAAATTCACACCCTGGTGGTGATGAGCTACATTGTAGCCACAGCTGCCCTGGAGCACACTCACAGAAGCAAGTCTGCTGTACACAGGCGCCACCGGTCAATCCGAACACCTCCAGAAGGCAAGGTGGGTCAACTGTCTTGCCCAAGGACACAACAACAGCAACAGACTGAGCGGCTCTCGAACCTGCAACCTTCCAGTTACAGAGCGAGCACTTAACTCCTGCGCCACTGTTGCTTACGAGTTTTCTCCACAGGGTGGCTGGGCTCTCACTTAGACATAGGGTGACAAGCTCGGTCATCGGGGAGGGGCTCCGAGTAGACTCGCTGCTCCTCCACATCAAGAGGAGTCAGTTGAGGTGGCTCAGGCATCTAGTTAGGATGCCTCCTGGACTCATCCTTGGTGAGATTTTCTAGGTGCCTCCAACCGGGAGGAGATCTAATCAGACCAGGACACGCTGGAAGGACTATGTCTCTCAGCTGGCCCGGGAACACATTTGGATTCCCCGGAGGCGCTGGCCCAAGTAGCTGGGGAGAGGGAAGTCTGGGCCTCCCTGCTTAGGCTGCTGCCCCCGCGACCCGACTCTGGATGAGTGGATGAATATGGATGGATGAACTCTAATCACCTGCACCATAGAGCTCAGCGTTCTGATAACCAACCGGCCAGATATACAGAAGAATACATACAAAACACTTAACTAGGCTTTGAGCTAACACTTTAAGAATACAGCAGGAAATGAATTAAAATGGTACAAATAAAACAAGTTTATTTATTTTACACATTTATTTCATTTGAACCACTCATTTAAAACAGTGAATGTGATTCATCTCTTTGCTCAAGTTTGCATGTTCTCCTCACGCATCTGTGGTTCTTCTGCATGGGAACATCTAAATCCATCCTATAGGTGTGTGTCTCCATGTGTCCCTAATGGTAAATGACTTGTATTTGATACAGCGCCTTCTAGAGTCCAGGAACCCCCCAAGGCACTTTACAACACAATCAGTCATTCACCCATTCACGCACACATTCACACGATGAGCTACGATGTAGCCACAGCTGCCCTGGGGCGCACTGAGAGAGGCGAGGCTGCTGAGCACAGGCGCCACTGGTCCCTCTGACCACCACCAGCAAGAACATGGATTAAGTTTCTTGCCCAAGGACACAACGACAGCGACAGACTGAGCGGGGCTTGAACCTGCAACCTTCCGATTATAGTGCGAGCACCTAACTCCTGTGCCACTGTCGCCCGCACGAGTGAACTGTCCAGAGCGGTTATGCAACCTGCAGGAAGGTTGATCTGGTGTTGGTGTCGTGTTCAGACAAACAAATCCCTCCTTTGAACCATAGACCTCTGTAATGAGAAACCTGCAGCCATGTTGGGTTTGACCAGTGGTGAAAGGGAGTTTTCCACTTTCTCGCAGTCTAACTCAAATAGCAGACCCAGAAACGTGAATTTAATCTGTTCTGATTGGTTTTCTCTCTTTTCTTATTCATCATTTGTCTCCATTAAAATTTCCTTACATTTTGCAAAGAAGACTTCTCCTTGGATTAAACTCTAACGTCGTTAGCTTCGGTTAGCTTGTGAAGCTCATAACGCGGTTTTAATCTCGGCAAAGTGCTGCCTCACACCTTGCAAGGCAGTTATTTTGAAGAAAAATAAACAATTTAATAAAAGTACTGAGTTTGACTCACACAGTTTTCACTGTGACTTTGTTCTTTTTTTTTTTTTTTTTGGACGGACTAGAATTAGATTTAATTTCTCAAAAGTGAAACATCTGAAATGGGA